TATCACTGCCATGGATGTAGAGCTTTTCCTTCATGGCGGAATTGAGGAAAGGATTAAATATCTTGAATGCCGCATTGAAGACCCAATTCTGGTTCACAATATGGAGGGCGGATGTCCTGATGGGCATGGAGGTCTATAAAGGCAAATGATAGAAATAAATTGTAGCAACTAATCTTGAATTAAGGTTTCCATATTCCCCCCAACTTACCACCAGAAGGGCTATCATCCTTTGTGCCACACTGGGACTCAGGTGGAGTATGTGTTCCAGGCCCAGATCCTTCAGGTCAAAGATTCCCACTCCACCCACGATCTGTGAGATGGGCTCCAAGCTGCCCAGCTCCTGCAGGACAATGGTGGCCCGGAATATATCGTCGATGGTCACGCGGTTGGGTCGCCACAGTCCGAATCGATAGATGAGTATGCGATGGCCATGTTGATCCCGATAGGGCGTCACCGTCAGGATGTTCGACTGCCCAATGTGACGCAGCTCCAGAGGACGAACCTTCTCGTAGTAGCTTTTGTTGTGCTCCCGAAACTTGTAATAGCTGCAGAGCTGAAAAGCAAATAAGTTGTTTATTGTTTCTCAGGAATTTGTATTTAAAAGTAAACAAACAGAATTGATTAAATTAGGAAGTCTTTATAATTACAATTTAAAGGTCGTATTACTACATAGAGACAAAGCTTGAAGAGTCGTTGTTTTAGGTGCAAAACAGGATAAAAACATATTTTAAAAGTAAAGGAAAAATACTTTAAGAATCATCAAGATGAACCTAAATATTTTCCCAAATTGCTTTCTGTTAAAAAAAAATATTGAAAAAAAAAAACAATTAAGCCTATGTTTTTTGCCCTAATATACTTTTTCAAAACTGAAATTGTTTTCAATTATTTAACATACCAATTTGTAGCTATTTTCGATCTTCCAATAGCGGGCTCTCAGAAATTTCTGTAGATATTTCGCATCATTTCGGTGTGGCTGGCAACCGTTTTGTTCTGCAAAGGATTTAACAAGGATTGATTCCAAATAATCTTTCTATGATAAGAGGGATATAGTAACCCACCTAATATGTAGTTCCGGAACTGTTCGATGATCTGATCCTTTGAACTGGGACACTCGCCCTGCTCCTCGGCAAGTCGACGAATGTGCTCCGGAACCTCCTCCTCCGTGATGTTCAACTTGTGCTCGATGGTGGGCATGTTGAGGGATCCACTGCTGGTCGTCTAAAATAAAACCCCAAGGAGTGGGAGTAAACAAGTAGATATAGAGTGGCTATAAAGTATACCGCTAAACGTTTTGCACCAGCAAATAAAGTTCAGAATAAATTGTTAAATAGTAAACACACAAAGCACCGATTGGGAAAAACGCATATGACAGCGATCGACCTTCCCGATTCTCATTGTTAGCAACATTTTCCCCAGATTGACAATTAAATTCCAGCTATTGATGGGTGATTTTCTAGTTACCATTTGATTTGTTGCGATCCGCTCGACTTCAAGTGTGAAACTGAGCCCCCGAACGGAATCAGAACCCGGCCAAATGTTCCCAGTCCCATGCGAAATGCTGTTTGTCGTTACACATGTATGCCACCATTAAATATTAAGTAGAAACCGAACAACAATGGACATGACTGATAGCGGGAAAGAGACAGCCAATCGCCCGATAACAGTATGTCGCAAAACTCATGTTATTTTTAGTAAATCATCAAGTTAATCCGCGAGGGCAATAATGTGAAGAAACATATTAAATGCGTACCTTTAAACAATTTAAATGAACCTTAGTTAATATTCTTTTTAATTAATAGGATTTTAATTAGCCCAATATTTTTGTTTTATTTCTTCGGTCAATTAAGAGACCGGTCTCAAAAAGTTTTCTAGCGGCAATTAATCAATTTAAATTTATTTCCACAAAACGATTTAAAACAAAAATATTGGAAAGAGATCAAATATTTATTCAACGCTTTATTTATAAAAAAAATAAGCCAAGTATACAAAGTCATGATTTTGATTGTTAATTTCAGAATAATTATAAACCGGCTATATAAGTTTTAAAATTGGCCTTTAATCAAAATATGTTATTCAAATTTTATTCAATTATTCAGTAAAATATTTTTGCAACTTAATTGAATGTTTTTGTTTATATTATTAAAATTCAATTTATATTGTGACTATTAAAAGTACATGATAAACGTTATCATGAATAAGGCGTAATGATTTTATAAATTAACATAATAAGCAATGTTAAATTTACCAAGGAATAATTATATGTTAATAATTATGAGTTAAATCTGAAATTATTTGATGTTCAAACAGTTAAGACCCAGTGCAACTAATTGATTTATTCACAACTAAAATTGTTCTGTTGCAAAGTGTAATTATTGTTTTCCGCCCTTGGCCGGTATCCCCGATTTCCGATCCCCTTCTCCCGCTCCCTGATCCCTGAACCCCGCGATTACGTTATATTGGAGCCGGTGGTCACTGATAAGAGGATCGGTATGCGGCTCATCATCGATGGCTAATCAGGTCGCTTGGGGTCCGCCGGTGCAATGTTGTGACTTCGACACCGGGGTATTTGTATTTCGCAGATAATGATGATGCCACCGCGATCTCAAAGTGCAGTTCGCAGAAATATCACACGTGGTGGGCCGTGCAAAGTGCCTGGGTCAATATTTAATTGTATTCAACAAATTCCGGCTAATTACATAGTACTAGGCTTTTCCAAGGGTGTAACCAATTGCAATGTTAAAACTTCAGTGCGGCACTACTTCGGTTCAAATGTTAATGAACTCGCCATTGTTGTCGTTAATTGTCTCCGCACAATTGCAGATAATCACAAGAATTGTTGGCTTCATTAGTGTGTTTGATAATAAGCAATTATTTCAATGGCCCGCCTCCCGGCCAACACCTTGTTTATCACCCCATTAGTTCGGGGTCTCCACTTTCATTACCAGGTAATAGTGCTACGATCCGAGCTGTGGTTACTGTTTCTGGTCACGGTTTTGTTTTTGGATTGGAATACGCGGAACCCGGCTCAACAAAGATCGCACACAGCTCACACAAGTGGCATCGCAGAAGTTGGCGATGAAACTGAGCTGCGGATCGTTTAGAACAAAACTTTTTATGAGACAGAACTCTCAAAGGGAAAAAGTCGAGAAAAAGCGCAGCAGTAATGACTACAAACCAGTATGGGAGAACAAAAAACCAGCATCTCAATAGGGAGAGCTAATTCAACGAATCGAGACTGAAAACACCCTTGAAGTGCAGTGGGGTCATAATCATAAATAGATTTATTTACTATTATTTATGTATTATGTTATTTATTTATTTAGTATATTGATCATCAGTTAATGCTAAGAAAAAAGTTTTGAAAGAAGAGTATAGAATAATAGAGGACCTCAAAAATTTCATTGCAGAAATATCTTATAAATATGTTATTTATTTTGTCTGCAAGTACAAATAGTTTCTTGTGATTCTTTTGCAGATTTTTATTAACCTAATATTAAAAAAGGTTTTGGTACGTAAAATCAGTTGTTTTAATGACAAATCATAATTAAATAATTTCTAGGAATTTTATTTTTGAAATCTTTTTTGCGAATTCTGCAGTCGAACATGTGCAATTATCAAAATGATTTAATCCGGAATATCCAAATAAATTCAATTTTTTCCCCAATGAGAACATTTCCATATATCAGCCAAAAATTCCCCAGCTAAGTAGGGTACAAACTGCACTTCACGTATAGAGAGATCTCAACTGATGCTTGTCAAACGAGAAATTACAGAGTTTGTGGGTGAGAGAACATTTCTGGACGAGATTTGATGCTGGATAAGTTCAATGAGCTCCGGTGACGTCACAGCCAGAAGGGTTCTCAGCGGCCCCACGCAAACTTTTCAAGTGAATCGGACCAAAACAGGATCGGCTCTCCAGAATATTCTTAATATTTTGTTTACCATTTAAAACTGGTTTGGGTTTTGCAGTGAAAATTGCAAGCGGAATGGGGAGTGTTCCTGCCCCTTTATGACGTCTTGTTGGGCAAGGTCAGTCGGCGGCAGAAAGAAAACCTGTTCGCTTTTAGCCATGGTCTTGGCTATGACCACCTAAGCAAATGGTTTTGAAATATTCATACCAGCAGGTGGTTAATTGAAAAGCAATCTGCATTTCAACTGTGCAGATTGTAATTGTACAACTTGTTGTAACTGTATCATTTTCTCTAATCGCTGTACCTAAGCTAATTAACTATAATTAAAAATGTATATTTTTTAAGTTGTAGTTATCTATATAATTCATATCAATTATTAAGTAAATTATGCTAATATTGTGAAAGGAGTAAGTGAAACCATTTTGACTCATAACTAATATAAATTAAGATTATTCTTTAATTTTGCAGCAATTGTCTTTTGTAAGTCTGAAAAAAAACAACGCTTAACAACAAAAATTGCAAAAATTTTTGCATTTTCAGGCTGTGCTAGTTTCAGGCAAAAAAACATTTAATGTGGAAATTGTCAAATTTTTGGGACAAATAACATGGTTAATTTTATTTTTCATTGTAAGTTGAACTATTATTAAGGTAATTGAGTTACACTGCATCTCAATTTCGCTTGTTTTTGTTTAATATTAAACTACAAATGTAATTTAAAGAAGTTCAAATATTTTTAGTCCATTTTTAAAACATAGAATTTAAATTCATAGAAAAACATGGAAACCATCGTTAGTGAATACACCAACCGACATCGGAGACACCAATATAGTCGATTGTTAGCTGGGACTTACTCCGCAGGAAGCGAGTACATAAACGATTTTATTTGCTTATTTTGAATAAAGTAATTAGAGCGTTATAACTGAAGTGAGAACTTCAAGAGTGCGCTTAAGAAATGCAGTAGAAAATAAGAGCGTCCTTAAGAACTCGATAACATGGGGCCAGAAGTGGAGTGCGATTTTCGATACTAGCTAGATATGGAGAATCGTCGATTGTACCCGCCCATCGATATTCTTAGCATCGATATCGGCATCGATGTTTTCCCACCTTTTGTTCTGCATATTTTGTTGTCGGCTCGGTTCGTTGTGAAAAGTTAATAAATGTGTGAATTTTAATAGTTAGCCGCGATCTGTACGAGTTTTACCGAAAGGCAGTAGACGCGAAGACGCACATACATATTAAAAATTGTAGTGCGTCGCCTCGTTTTTCGCCTGCAACCAACAGTTTGGCTGCGCTTTGATTGTCGGTGGCAGCAACAAAAAACATCAAAATCTCTTCCAATTTTTAATCAGGTGAGGTGGAACTTGCATTAAGTATAAATAAAATATGGTTAAACCGGAAAAAGGCGTAATTGCCTTAAACGTTCTCGTAAAATAAAAGAGTTCGCAATTTCCCGGCAGCGTCGCTTGCAAATTAAAAATGGCGCTACCGGTATACAGAGCGCAATTAATGAGTGCAAAAAATCCATCCACGTGCCGGCAACCAAGCCAAGCTCAAATGCGCCTTTAAAATAGTTTAAATTAAACGTTAAATTGTTGTAAGCCTTAAAATAATCATTTAATTTTATCAATTACCGGCAAATGCTAGTAACACACGCACACAGACAAGGGCACGCCAAGCGTAGAGTTGCCGCCAAATGGGCTGAATATCTGTTCCTAGTACAGTAACACCCGCGGAAATGTTAGCTCTTTTACAATTTAAATAGTTTATTGGTTTTAAAGCGCCATAATTAGTTTCAGTCTGCCGGACCCAACATATTCCCATTTGACGTAGTCCCATTCCAGGGTTTGTCTGGCCAAATATTGGACTCAGTGCGCGCGCGCGCGTTTGTTTTTTATTTTGCCGTCGCCGTGAGTACAGTGTGCCTTCATTAAGGGTGATCTGAGTAAAGGTCGGCGTAGAGAGGGAAAAATTCATATTTTTAGAAAACATCCCTTGAAATTAAAAAAAAAACATTTGACGGAAATCGTTTAATATATTCCATTTTATTGATTCTTTAAACGACGAACAAGGAATAAATCTTTAAAAGCATCTGAATTATTAAATATCTTAAAAAAAATCGTATATTTGTGTTAAAAAAATAAAAAATTATTATAAATCTTAACACACTGTAGTTTTCTGTTAGTTGGTTTGTTTTTTGCCTCCGACGAAAAAGACAACGTATACGAAGTGATTAATAGTGCCTTAGGCAGTAGCTGGGAAATGTTCCGCGTACAGTCGCATCAGTAAATTAAAAATATTTCTTTTGTACATTTTAAAGATCCAGCTAAAGCACAGCGGCATCATGGAGAACGGCAGCAAGGCATCTGCCATGTCCATCGAACAGATGTACCAGAAGAAGTCGCAGCTGGAGCACATCCTGCTGCGCCCGGACTCGTACATCGGCTCCGTGGAGTTCACCAAGGAGTTGATGTGGGTGTACGACACCGCGCAAAAGCGGATGGTGCAGAAGGAGATCTCATTCGTACCCGGCCTGTACAAGATCTTCGACGAGATTCTCGTGAATGCGGCGGACAACAAGCAGCGCGACAAAACTATGAACACCATCAAGGTTGACATTGATCCTGAGCGAAATGTGGTATCCGTGTGGAACAATGGCCAGGGTATTCCAGTGACCATGCACAAGGAGCAGAAGATGTACGTACCCACGATGATCTTCGGTCACCTGCTGACCTCCTCGAACTACAACGATGACGAGAAGAAGGTCACTGGCGGCAGGAACGGCTATGGAGCGAAACTCTGCAACATATTTTCCACCAGCTTCACCGTGGAGACCGCCACGAAGGAGTACAAGAGGAGCTTCAAGCAGACCTGGGGCGACAACATGCAAAAGGCCTCGGACGCAAAGGTAAAAATTCTGAATCTTGTTCAATAACTTTATCTTATTATTGATAACCCCACAGATCAAGGACTTCAGTGGCACCGATTTCACTCGCATCACGTTCAGTCCCGATCTAGCCAAGTTCAAGATGGAGAGTCTCGATGAAGACATTGTGGCGTTGATGTCGCGTCGCGCCTACGATGTGGCCGCCTCATCTAAAGGCGTATCCGTGTATCTCAACGGCACCAAACTGTCGGTGAAAAACTTTAAGGACTACATCGATCTCCACATCAAGAGCACGGACGACGACTCTGGTCCGCCCATCAAGATCGTGCACGAGGTTGCCAACGAGCGGTGGGAGGTTGCCTGCTGTCCTTCGGACCGCGGCTTTCAGCAGGTCTCGTTTGTCAACTCAATAGCCACCTACAAGGGCGGTCGGCATGTTGACCATGTGGTGGATAATGTCATCAAACAGCTCCTCGAGGTTCTAAAAAAAAGAACAAAGGTGGGTTGAATGGTTTTACGTACTTACTATCTCATACTGATATTTGCAATCGCTTCTAGGTGGCATTAACATCAAGCCCTTCCAGGTGCGAAATCACCTGTGGGTTTTCGTCAACTGTTTGATTGAAAACCCCACGTTCGACTCGCAGACCAAGGAAAACATGACGCTGCAACAAAAGGGATTCGGTTCCAAGTGCACACTATCCGAGAAGTTCATCTCGAACATGTCCAAGTCGGGCATCGTGGAGTCCGTGCTGGCGTGGGCCAAGTTCAAGGCCCAAAACGACATTGCCAAGACGGGCGGACGCAAGTCGAGCAAAATAAAGGGCATTCCGAAGCTGGAGGACGCTAACGAGGCTGGTGGCAAGAATTCTATCAACTGCACCCTCATCCTAACCGAGGGAGACTCAGCTAAGTCTTTGGCAGTCTCCGGTCTAGGCGTCATCGGTCGTAATTTCTACGGAGTATTCCCACTTAGGGGAAAGCTTCTCAATGTGCGCGAAGCTAATTTTAAGCAGCTTTCCGAGAATGCTGAGATCAACAACTTGTGCAAAATAATAGGGTTGCAGTACAAAAAGAAGTATCTCAACGAAGATGATCTGAAGACACTGCGTTACGGCAAACTGATGATCATGACAGATCAGGATCAGGACGGCTCCCACATTAAGGGATTGCTGATCAACTTTATCCACACCAATTGGCCAGAACTTCTGCGTCTGCCCTTCCTTGAGGAGTTCATAACGCCGATTGTGAAAGCAACCAAAAAGAACGAGGAGCTCTCCTTCTACTCACTGCCCGAGTTCGAGGAGTGGAAGAACGATACGGCCAACCACCACACCTACAATATAAAGTACTATAAGGGTTTGGGTACTTCGACCTCCAAGGAGGCGAAGGAGTACTTCCAGGACATGGAACGCCATCGAATCCTTTTCAGGTACGACGGCTCGGTGGATGATGAGAGTATCGTTATGGCATTCTCAAGGAAGCATATAGAGTCTAGGAAGGTGTGGCTCACTAACCACATGGACGAGGTGAAGCGTCGCAAGGTGCTGGGACTGCCAGAACGCTATCTTTACGCTAAGGGAACCAAGCACATTACCTATGCCGACTTCATCAACCTGGAGCTGGTGCTGTTCTCCAATGCGGACAACGAGCGCTCTATTCCCAGTCTGGTGGATGGACTTAAGCCGGGTCAGCGCAAGGTAATGTTCACCTGCTTCAAGAGGAACGACAAGCGCGAGGTGAAGGTCGCCCAGCTATCCGGATCGGTGGCCGAGATGTCCGCCTACCACCACGGCGAGGTCTCGTTGCAGATGACCATTGTGAATCTCGCCCAGAACTTTGTGGGCGCAAACAACATCAATCTGCTGGAACCACGCGGTCAGTTCGGTACTCGTTTGACGGGTGGCAAAGATAGCGCCAGCGCTCGTTACATTTTCACTTTGATGTCTCCCTTGACGCGACTCATCTTTCATCCCTTGGACGATCCGCTTCTGGATTACCAGGTGGACGATGGCCAAAAGATTGAACCCCTATGGTATTTGCCCATCATACCGATGGTGCTGGTCAACGGAGCCGAGGGCATCGGCACTGGTTGGTCCACCAAGATAGCCAATCATAACCCCCGTGAGATAATGCGCAACCTGAAAGGGATGATCAACGGGGAAGAGCCGAAGGTGATGCATCCCTGGTACAAGAACTTCCACGGACGCATGGAATACGTGTCGGATGGGCGGTATGTGCAGACAGGAAACATTCAAATCCTCCCAGGCAATCGGGTGGAAATTACGGAACTTCCTGTGGGAGTTTGGACGCAGAACTATAAGGAAAACGTGCTGGAGCCGCTTTCAAACGGCTCCGAGAAAGTGAAGGCTATTATATCCGACTACAGGGAGTATCATACGGATACCACAGTTCGCTTTGTAATTAGCTTTGCGAACGGCGAATTTGAACGCATTTATGCTGAGGAAGGTGGCTTCTATCGAGAGCTCAAACTCACCACGACCCTGTCCACCAACCAGATGCACGCGTTCGACCAGAACAACTGCCTACGACGATTTCCCACCTCAGTCGAAATCCTCAAGGAGTTCTACAAGTTGCGGCTGGAGTACTATGCCCGCCGAAAGGACTTTTTGGTGGGTCAGCTGACGGCGCAGGCGGATCGGCTCAGCGATCAGGCGCGCTTTATCCTCGAGAAGTGCGAGAAGACATTGGTGGTGGAGAACAAGCAGCGCAAGGCTATGTGCGATGAGCTGGTAAAGCGTGGCTACCGTCCCGATCCCGTCAAGGAGTGGCAGCGCCGCATAAAGATGGAGGATGCTGAGGCGGCTAACGATGATGACGAAGAGGAGGAGGGAGCTCCCAGTACCAGCTCAAAGGTTAAAAAGGAGAAGGATTTAGATCCGGATAAGGCTTTCAAGAAGCTGACTGATGTCAAAAAGTTCGACTACCTTCTCGGCATGTCCATGTGGATGTTGACCGAAGAGAAGAAGAACGAGCTGCTCAAGCAGCGCGATGCCAAGCTTGCAGAACTGGAGAGTCTTCTCAAAAAGACGCCGGAGCTGCTCTGGCTTGACGATTTGGATGCCCTTGAGGCGAAGCTAAATGAAGTGGAGGAGAAGGAACGCCTCGAGGAGCAAGGCATCAATCTGAAGACAGCCAAGGCGATGAAGGGCCAGAAGGCTACCGCACCTAAGGCCAGGAAGGCCAAAGTATCAATGGGCGGGCCTGCTGGCTCTGGAGACATCTTCCCTCATCCCGATGGAGAGCGTATCGAGTTTAAGGTCACTGAGGAAATTGTCAAGAAGATGGCACAGGCTGCGAAGCTAGCGCAGGCTGCGAAGCAACCGAAGGAACCCAAGGTGAAGAAGGAGCCAAAGGGCAAGAAGATTAAAGCGGATCCCGATGCTATCGAAGAGGAGGTAGACGAGTTTGATGCCATGGTCGAGGGCGGAACAAAAGCCTCACCCAAGGCCAAGAAGGCGACTGTCAAGAAGGAGCCGGCCGAGAGAAAGCCGCGTCAAAAGAAGGAGAACGGCGGCGCCCTTAAGCAGAGCAAGCTTGACTTCAGTAAAGCAAAGGTAAGCTTTTTCAAATTTTAATTCTTCGACAAACCATTTAAATCTGCTTACTTCTTACAGTCAAAGAAATCCAACGGCGAGAGCGAAGATGATGATGAAGTAATTGAAGTAGCTCCTCGTGCGGAGCGTCCTGGACGACGGGCGGCCAGCAAGAAGATCGACTACAGTTTGCTGCTTTCCGATGATGAGGAAGGCAATGTTGGATCTGGTGATGATTCCAGTCCCGGAGACAACGACGACGAGGATTCTCCCATCAAGCGTCCAGCCAAACGTAGTCGTGATGAAGAGAGCAGCGGAGGAGCGAAAAAGAAATCGGCGCCAAAGAAGAGGCGCGCGGTACTGGAAAGCGATGATGATGTCGATCTCGATTTAGATGAAGATGATTCTGATTTCCAGTGTTGAGAGACTGGTTGGCCTATAACATATTTGCCTAATATTGGTATGAGTATTTAGCAAGCAAATCAACGATTTGGAATCAGCATTATCGGAATCGGAAATCCCGGGGAGGCTCTTTCATCGCAACGGTAGTTTATAATTTCATAATCTTTTAATGCTCTCCTCGAAGTTTTGTCAATGTTTTATTTTCCGTGTTTTAATTTAACCTAAGCAGATAACTTCGCTACATTCGTTCACTGTAGCTGATTCTGTGTTTCAGAACAGCAGGAATTCACAAACATAATATTGGTGTATTAAGATGTTTCATAAACGTAGTTTGTAGTCTCGAAAGTTTTCTTAATGTAAATAAATCAATTTTACCTAATGGCTACTTAAAGACTTTATTGATGTTATTGGGCCGAACGAAAATATGAAAAAGCTGAACATAGTTATAGTGAACACCCTACTTGACCTACTTATTTATCATTTTTGGTATTTATACTCAATGATATTGATATTATACTCAATATTGGTTGCTCTCCTTTATAATCAAATTTGTGGAAACGTTTTAAATTAAAGTGATTTTAATATACTTCAGAATAAATCTTCTTAGTTATATTTCTGATATAAAAAAATCTCAACGAGTTATTATGGGCATCTTTTAATTAATTTGACTATTCCGTAATTGATAGATTTTCTACCCTTTTCTTGAATAAACACCCCGTCATATCCGCTAAATTTTAAAAAAAACAGTATTTGAATAATATGTTTTATTCACCAAAGATGCAATGTATTGGAACGTAGAAAATATAAATAATCTCTTAGGGCCGATAAAATGTCGGCTTCTGCAAGGTTTACACATCGACCGCCTCGAGGAAAGTCTTAAAGGAATTCTTTATGTTGTCGTTGGCAAACTTCGGCTGCTTAAGCGCCTCGCGCAGTGCGAATCGGCAGCTCTTGACATCGTAGTCGGACTTAAATGCCTCCTCGCAGCGCAGTAGGCGAAGCTGCATCAGGACGTAGTTCAGCACACGGGTCTCCTGCTTTGTTTTTAGGGCGTAGTCAAAGGTGGCCTGGTACAGCGAGACGGCCAGATCCAATGCAGCTTTCGATGATTGCGACAAATGCGCGCACTTCAAAGTAGTAAAGACAAGCAGCAGCAAATGGTTGTCGCCCGTGAATTGCTGTTGAAGAACATTAGTTTATTATTAGTTTACTAAAATGTAAACCCAAAATTGGTTTAGCCATATACAACATACATTGACAATGTACTGCAGGGCTTGCAGCTTGTTTTCCGGATCCAGAGAGTCAAACTGTTGCTGAGAGCAGGGCGTCTGGCTCAGGCAGAACTCCTCGGGCGTGCACTTTTGGCTAATCGTCTTGTTGGCGACCGCAAAAGTATCGCTGGCCTTTGAGTTGGTTGATTCGTTAAAAAGCTGCATAATATTTGTATGTATTAATGCATTTGAAGAGTTCTTATTTCTATTTAACGAAATGTATGTGATTACATTGTAAATATAGTAGGCTTACCTTGGTCGTGTAGGCATCGGTGGTGACATAGGCAGTCTCTTCGGCCAGGGTGCCATACTCCTCATCGTCCTCGTCGGCCTCTTCGGTGGTATCGTTGGCATGCTCATGCTCGTCGTACTCCTCTTCGTCATCATATTCATCATCCTGATCCTCAGCTTCATCCTCATCCCCAGAAGCCTCATCATCTTCGGAAAGAATTTCCTCGAAAGGTTGCAGGGCGGCAGCATTTGGCAGCTTGGCCATTTCTTTGATTATCTGATCGACGCCCTCATGACCAAAGTAATTGCCATCGAGGCTGAAGAAGCGCAGTTTGGACTTGTTTCGCATGGCGTTCACCAAGACCATACCACCATCGCTGTTAATTTCATTGAAGCCCAAGTCGACAACCTCCAGCTGCTCGTTATAGTTCTCCAGAACCTCTCCAAAGTGGTACGCGCCATTTGTACGGATCAGGCAGTCGCCAAAGTTGAATTCCCGCAGCCTGCAAAGGAAGCGAGTCTTAAATTAACTACTTTCTAACCTTCCTTTTAAACCAAACAAAAACTTACAAGGGTAGAAAAGGCAGGACTTCGGCGATCTTTTCCGCTCCCTTGGACCTTAGTGTGTTATCGTTCATGTTCAATACCTTTAGATGCGGATTCTCCTTAAAAGATTCCGCCAGGGCCTCGACGCCGTCGAAGTAAATGGAGTTCTGCAGCAGGACAATCTCCTCAAAGGTCTTGAGGGTTTTGAAAGCGGTGGCTAGGGACTTGGCGCCGGCATTCTCTAGGCGATTACGTCCGCCGACAAAGACGCGCAACTGCAACGGTGATCCAGCCTTCTTGGCATTGGCATGGAGATCAATCAGAGCCTTGGACAGCATGCTGCCGCCCTCGGGACCCAGGCCACAATTATACAGTAGTAGCTCTTGCAGGGAATAACAGGCGGGCGATCGCAGGAACTCTTCCAATCCCCGCATGCCATTGGGTCCCAAAGCATTGTCGCTAAGGTCGAGAACTGTCAGCTTAGCCCCCGCCACATTTAGAGCTGCTCCCAGGTTCTTCAGTGCATCCGGAATCTCCGATTTGAGGCGACGCGTAAAAAGATTCTTCCACAGCGCCTTTCGGAACTCCGGATGACGCTTTAGAGCCTCACCAATCGCCTTGGCCGCCTCCACGCCTAGCGTATTCCCGTCCAGATTGAGGTAGTGCACCGTAGTCTGTTTGTTAAGGGCATCCACCACATCCTGGACTATAAGGAGCCTTGATTTAGCTACCATATGAAGGACGAAATCGGCTTTTTCACTCACCATCGGCGGCTGTGTCCCAGGTGAGTGCCTTGTCTTGGAATGAAAGTCCCTGCTCCCGGCCAGATTGGGCCGCCATGCTGGCGAAGTTAAAGCTGGACGCAGACATTGTAAGTTTATTTTGTTTTCAATTAATTTAATCAGCTACTGGCACTGTACTTTGCAATTGCAGCCGGCTTGCAAAATTTATTTTAACCTCGCAAAAATAGGCGCTAGAATATTGGCATTGTTTGGTATTATCAGCCGGCAGCGATGGTCACATTCATCGCATCAGTGTTGCTCAAAGCGCAACAGGGTGACGTCCAGCCAAAGACCAATATAATCATTGTTTATATTGGTCTTTGGTCCAGCCGACCTATCTAGCTTTTTTCTTAATGGAGAACAATTAAAAAGTACTCACTTCAATCGTGTGTTTTACTTATTTTGTTAGTAGTTGCTGCAGATTAAATTCTACCCATTTGCTAAACTTGTCTAAAGCCGTGGATTCATTCCCCTGACGTATTAATCTAGCATACCTCATTCAACATTTTTTTAGAATCGGCTGTGGCAGTTCAGTTATCTTCATTTTCATTCGATTAATTAATGGATAAAGAAATGTTTGATTTAGATTTTGTAATTTCCGAAGCTGTATGTCCATTCAAAGCTAACTTCATATTTCTTTCTGGTTCAGTAAAGGGATTATTTACGATTTAATGTTAGCCTGGTGAGACTTAAATGAATCGGATGAAACTATCCTAAAGCTCTAAAAGAATTAGATTTCTTTTTAAATGTTTGAATTCTCTTGTGTTTAAGATATTTTATCCTTGCTGGCATATCATAAGTGTGAGTGTTTTGCGCGCCGAAAAATCTTACCCCTTAAGATATGGCCATTTTAATTACTGTTTTAAAGTATCTGTATTTTTTTGACTCGCCGACTAATGACTTTTACCGTCCTTTGTCATGCTTGCTCTTTGTGCATTTCTAAGAAGGAAAAATTGACTCATCCTATTTCTTCAAGTTTAGCAATCAGTGAGTACGGATTTATGATTGCAGGTGATGTATACATATATATTAATAAGTCTCTATCAGTCCCTATCTCATGGGTATTGAACCTTTGCTGATCTTCTGTCTTCACAAGTACAATGCAAAACACAGACAAACACATATGTATAATGTCAGCATATGTACACCACCGGTATAAATAGAGCTTCAAACACCTCCGAGTTAAGTAGAAAGCAGCAAGATGTTGAAAAAATTCGTTCAACTCCTTTTGGTTCTCGCGAGTTTTAAATTGGGATTTTCTTACAAGAAATTCTCATATTTTAATACTACTGGTAAGCAACGTATACAAAATGTAATTATTATTTAATAGCTTAACCCAAATTTTAAGGAAACCCAAACAACATTACCATAGACTCGAGTCCCTTCATTAAGATCGGAAGTGGATTCTATTACTTTGGACAGGATAAGGTAAATTGGTATACTGCATATGGAAACTGCCGAAAGTTGGGATCCGAATTGGTGACCTTCGAAACCAACCAGGAGTTTGATGCCGTTGCTGCACATTTAAAAAAGAATGGAGAACGGTCGGAGCACTGGACATCCGGCAATGACCTGGGAAAAACCGGCACCCACACTTGGTTTACCAATGCTGAGCCCCTAAAAATAACTCGGTGGGCTCCTGACCAACCCGACTATAATGGCGGTATAGAGCATTGCATACACCTGGGCTACATATACGGCCATTCCACGGAAATCCAACTTAACGATCGTCCCTGCAATAATCATAATAGCAGCTTACTTAAATATGTTTGCGAGGCTCCAAAGCAAGAAACCATATCTATAGTTGTTTGGAAGTAGAGGTGTACATTGAGACTATAGAGATTGTAATCAGTTTTGGTCGTACATACTAAAATAAACTACATTTTTTAATAAACCTCGAAGTTACAGCCCAAATCAGAATTTATAATATACATTTTATTGTTGGCAATTATGTTTAATATTGTGAGCTAACACACCTTATTAAAAAGTTTATCAGTAATTTATTCAACTGAAGCGATTTTTGTTTCTAATTTTTTCACTTACGACCCACACTGTAAAATATAAAATCAATACGTACCGCACAGATTATTAATGGAAGAAAAATAGGCTTTTGTCATTATACGTTGGTATTAACCAACAAATATATGTTCCACTTGTTGCATACATTTTTGTCTAAATAATGTTGGGTGGGTTTTGACCATTAATATCATGTGACTAGTGGTTTAAACATAAGTTAGCTTTGTAGCAAGTATATGATGTAAGTGACACTGACCACGAGATCAGGACACTGAGATCAGGATGCAGACAAATCTCCGTGATGGAATATAGGTATTTCTCATCTCTCTCTTAAAGCTAACTGCTCATCTCTGCTGCAACTGCACATTCCGACAAACCTATTTCAGCAGTTTGCAACACTGCTGAGCAGCTGCTGTGCAGCGCTGACCAACACCGCACTGAGTTGTTTGCAGATAAAAAACAAGCAAAACTACTTCAAATTATGCTGAAATTACTCACCTGAAATGAGCTGTAGTGCTGACCACTAAAGCAAACCGACTGAAGGCATGATTAGGAAACTGCTTAAGATGTGGATTCTGCTGCGACCCACACACTGGCTGATTTTGATAGCCCTGTGCGTGCTGACCTGCGCTGGTTACTGGTTGCTCTGGTCAGAGATTCGCTTGGAACGTGGTGAGTTGAGACCTGGAAGCGATATCAGTTCCTAATTTACTACTCCTAATACACAGCATTCAAGCCGCTGTCCAAACTGGGTGAATCCCTGAGCCCCGATCAGCATGCCTCCTCATCCACCGACGACTTTGACTACGAGGAGCACCTGGTGGTGCTGTACAATCGCGTTCCAAAGACAGGATCCACCAGTTTCGTCAACATCGCCTACGATCTGTGCAAGCTGAACAAATTCCATGTGCTGCACATCAATGTGACTGCCAATATGCACGTCCTCTCGCTTCCGAACCAAATTCAATTCGTGCGCAACGTTTCCAGGTGGAATGAGATGAAGCCAGCTCTGTATCACGGACACATGGCGTTCCTGGAGTTCTCCAAGTACGTACACCATCTTAATTCAGAAGTAGTAAGTAGCATCCCTATTTCGCAGGTTCCAAATCGCCCACAAGCCCATCTATATAAATCTGGTCCGCAAACCTCTGGACAGACTGGTCTCCTACTATTACTTTCTACGCTTTGGGGACAACTACCGACCGAATTTAGTGCGCAAGAAGGCGGGCAATAAAATTGTTAGTATATTTAAATTATTTTTCATTGGAACAATTAAATATATTACCTTTATCCGTAGACCTTCGATGAGTGCGTGGTACAAAAACAACCCGACTGTGATCCCAAAAATATGTGGCTCCAAATACCCTTCTTCTGTGGCCACGCTGCCGAGTGCTGGGAACCCGGTAGCAGTTGGGCATTGGAACAGGCCAAGCGCAATCTAGTCAACGAGTACTTCTTAGTTGGAGTCACCGAGCAGATGTACGAGTTTGTAGATCTGCTGGAGAGATCACTGCCCAGGTGAGATTTACTTTCCTTTTTCTTTCCTGGAAAATCCCGTCTTAATCAACACTTAATTGCATTAACGGACGATGCGTTGGGACTTAATTTTATTCATTACTAATATGTTTCCTTCTACAGAATTTTCCACGGCTTTCGTGAGCACTATCATAATTCAAACAAATCTCATCTGCGGGTGACTTCATCCAAGCTGCCGCCGAGCGAATCGACAATAAAAGCTATTCAAAAGACTAAAATCTGGCAAATGGAAAACGATCTGTACGAGTTTGCACTGACCCAATTCGAGTTCAACAAGAAGAAGCTTATGCAGCCGGATAACAAGCACGTGCAAAAGTTCATGTACGAAAAAATTCGACCCAAATGATTGCAGAGACGGCGACGGAGTCGCAGAACAAGAATTCGGCCGACTCCAGTGGGCTAACAGTCTGCCAGGAGTCCCCGTTTTTGTATTGTAAATAACTATTCCCCCAATTAGATTTGATTTGTACTTAAGAGTAACTATTCGTACACTCAAGCGCTACTAAAGACTTTAGCAGTGAATATCGTTGACATATTAATAACCGAACCTTTTATATGTAGTCTAAGCTTTAATCTTGTAAAACATCCGAGAACGCTTTTGTAGTTCATCGTAAGCAATATCTAGCAACAATTGTCTGCACAATATCTCTTCGTTTAGTCAAACATACGTTTTATACTCGACAATACAATGGAATGAATGGATGAATCTAGGCCATAGATCGATTTTGTAGAACTTATAAGTGTATTCATATGTAAACGACTCTCATTAATTGTAACTGTCATAGGCTAAGCTCTAAATCTGGATTTGACATTCAAATTAAATGCATGTAAATAGTAGATAATTGATTGTCTATACCGAGCGTTGTGCGTATCAACAGCTGTCGTTGGGATTGCGTGTTCGAGAATTGATTAATGCCATCAGTGGGTTACTTTTAACTTTCAGCGTGCTGTACTTTGCCTAAGCTAACTGCAATCGACTGTCAAGCGAAAATCCGCCGAACTTTAAAGCCTGACGTAGCAGTAGCTCTGCCTCCATGGGCGAAGGTGATTGACTGGCGATTGGACGGAATGGCGGAATGACGATCCGACACGCAGAATGGGCTCAAGCAAGTGCAAGAAAATGAAATTGAAATACATTTGGAAACGACGGCAGGCAGCGAAATACTTAATTAATTGCCCGCGCTTAAAACTAAAAGCAAATGAGCTCGCTTTACCCACAGCCCCCGTCAGTTGATCACTTGATCGTGGATCGCGGACACGCAAGTCGAAAGTAGCTACTGACTGCCAGAAAATCATTGTGGTTGAAAGAGTGATAACCAAAGTATTAACTACCCGTTAAGCTGACCACATTCACGACCCGTAAGAGAGATTTAAAACAAGTTTTTTACTCAGTCACAGAGGCGATTAGTCTTTAAACTAGTTGTGTACGGAGCGTTCAAAAGTTCAAGTCTAATTACGACCAAGTCGCGTAACCATCAGAAGTTTAACCGCGATACACTGTGCGAAATGGTTATACGAGATTAAAAAATCTCGAAAAACGGTGTTTACCCAGAGGAATATTATCACGAAAAATAATATGGTTGTGTCGAAAGCTATTAAAGTGTTCCACGATTTACGTTTTAACAAATATAAGAAGTGTACTTTTCGCAAGTGCTTCGATGAGAATTTCTCCGAAAAGCGAGAATAAATAATCCAGTGAAAATGCAGCTACAAAATACTGCATTTTGTATTGCACATATTGATAAACAAAGAATGAGAAATTTCCACCGGTCTGTTAAATGCACCATTTATTTATTTTTACTGTTTAAAGTGCGTATAAAGCTAAAAAAGTTAACCAATATAAGATGAATAAGTCGGGTTACAGTGTACTTACTTAAACATTATATTTAATAATTTTAATTGGTGTAGAGAATCGATTAACTGCACTACACTGTGAGAAACGCCCTACAAACCAATATTTTTTAACAGTGCCTAAAACAATGGAAAAAGCATAACATTTATGCTGAGTTCACAAATAAAATTTAAACTTGACTTATCAAAGAAACCCCAAAAACAAAGATCACCATAGGCGATTCGCGACGTGATCTTTAACGATTTTTGACTCGACTTTAGTCGCTTATAATGACCTATTAAATCGAGTTGGCCTTTTTTTAAATGCCCGACTATTCCGACCGACATTTGTACATACTTGATAACTTTGCTATATATGTAATGAACGCAGTATATATGTACATAAATGGGGCGGCTATAAAACGATTTGACAAGCAGCTTTATATTTTCAGTCTCTAAACGCGATCCAAGCTCACTATATCAGTGTCAAAAGACGGCCCAAAAAGGATTTCATTCATATATCTTTGGATTAGCAGATTTAATTTAACTAAGGTTAGTAAATCTTCATTTTAATTTTGTACGACGCCACTGTCAAGCTTTAGAATTTTCTGTAACTCGATTTCAATTTCAAGATAATCGTAAAATTTCTGATGTTTTCTTTAACAAATTATATTTTGTTTTTAATGTCCTTTTTTGCATTATTTAGTCATTTTTCTTTGGTAAAAAAAGCTTACATTTCTATTAGTTCAACCATTACCGTATGAGATAAGAACCAATTTAAATTTTCTTTACCTCATTTAAATGCCCTGACTATATGATTTCAATAAAAATAATATGGGTCACCTAATTTAACTATAGATATGCTAAGTAGTGTGATTTACAGAGTGGTGACTGTTTAACAGTGGTCATCACTGACTGGCTGTATTTTTCGCATTGCCTTTTCCTCATTATTTTTGCAAGTATTCCTTTTTTGCGTTCGTCGGTCGAGAATTTCAAGTAAAGTTCAGTAACTCGCGACATTGACCCATTTACTGTGCCTTCGATCCGGTGCTCCCGACCTGAACAATTCGGCAAAAAATATTAATTTATTTGCGTTGGCATTTGCATGTGCAATACTTATCGCGTTCAACAGTTTTTTCATGTAGTTATATCGTGTTGTCGGTTTGCATCGTCATGGCAATGTTGACCGCTGCATCTGCGATGAGGAGCCTGCCCTCCGAAGCGGCCCCCTCTTTTCCAACTAAATTTGCCCACATTGGTGAGGGTCAACAGTAAAAACTCGCTGTAGAAATAAATTACTACTAACGTTATCAAATAAACAATATTTAATACATTTCCTTAGAATTATCTGTACTGCAACAGCAAATTTGCATGGCAAAGCGTGGGCGCAGATACTGCGCATGCCTACAGTTAAGGTCATAATAAAACCTGATAAAACTAACACTGTAAACTTTATTACAAATTATTTAAGTTACAGCGCTTATATTATATAATAATAAAAATGAGTCTTACACAAGTAACCAGAAATAAAAAATAGAGTGCATATATATTGAAGTATTGAAATAATAGTTATCGCAAGTAACGTTTTATAGGTTATTAATACAAACAATATCCCTGATATTCCTAAAACTAATATTGAAAAACCAAAACTTTATCTTTAACTTAATAAAATATATAGGATTAATATAATATATTAATATTATTTAAGTTTTTTATTTTTTTGATATTTTTAGTAAGTCGACTAGTTATGTTCAACTGTAATTTAATATTGCAGGCATGAGTGGACAGGTATTTATGTTACTTTTCTTTTTGTATTTTTTTACTAAAGTTTACATGTACTTTTTATTATCTTAAGAGTAAGGTTAAAGCACTTTGTACATTGGGATTGCCCTTGCCATTGTCAGGTTTTTCAAAATCATGTTTCTCATGTAGTGTTTTTTTTAATTTTTTGCAAGAAACCGAAGGGCGAGAGCTGACATTGCAAAGGGATCTTAACCCCAGATTTACTCATATTACATTTTTTAAATTTTAGCTTTTTCCCAAGTCGTCGTTTTATAGCACTCAGGTTTCGTCAGCATCCACCTCAAGTTCGTTAATAAAAATAGACCAATAGTCCGAAACAGGCCCAAATGAAATCGAGAGTATAACGAAGCGTAAAACCATGAATGGCCGAAGTCTTCGCACGTGCGATCGTGCGATTGAACCGATTTGTCCAAAATCGGGCGGCAAAACATTTTCTGTCTACAAAGCACAGGGTGCTGAGCTTTGAGACGTGTTAATTATACCAAATATGCCTGCCTTACACATGGGGTTATAAACCTAGGACATAAAAATATGATAGGTGTAACGGATATGGTGTTAATCAAAAGTATTTCATGTATTTCCTTACTAATTCATGTATTTTCTTACTAATACTCAGTATTCGTTTATTAAACTGAATTTTAAAATTTTATTAGTTCCTATTCAAAGTTTAATTAAGACATTGCTATTAAAAAAAAAGAATTTACCAAGCCTTGTTCTTCATTTGATTTATTTTTAAATGTTTGCAAATTTTTCGGCTTCTAGTATCACAATCAACTAACAATAATAAACCTTTTAGTTCTCAAAAAATATTTTATTGAGAATTATTTTTTTTTTTAAGTATTATAATTTAAAGGATTGAATTGATTGTTTTGAATGTGGAATTTGGGAGATCCCAATAACTTTGATTGACAGTGCTATATTGGCATGACCCCAAGTGTAATTTTGACGAACAGGTGTAAGCAATAATTGGCGTAGAGCGGGGCAGCATTGAAACCGGATAGCACAGAGCACGGAGTTTCAGGGTCGCCGTAGGAAATGCCTATGCCGAGGGATTTTTGACCGCCCTGTACTCTGAACAATTACACTTGAAGAAAACCCGAATAAATTAGGTGGGCTCAGAAAGCGTTGAAGTTGAAAGCGAAACTGAAACCGGCTTGAGGTGGCATCATTTCCCAATGACGATGCACCCAGATTAAGCTCTCTCACGGGGCAAACTCTAAATATCTCACACCTCGCCTCTCTGGTCGACACACGTGAATGTCGTGCTCAAGTTCAGATTTATATTGAGATGTCCACTTTTATAATTGAAAAAAATCTTTTTTTCTTACCCCATTTTGAATATTAATATGAATTTTTGAAGTGGTTATTGCTTATAAAGATTAATGGAAATACTATTTGATATCTATCTACAACACATATTAAGTAAAATATAGAAGGTTTTAGAATAATACTCCAAATTATCCAGGTTTTCTAGATTTTAGAAAATTTGAATTCTGAATTGTGATTTAAAGGACCCTTTTCTTAAAAAATTGATTGGGTTTAATTGTATTAACTTTTTATAAATCCCTGTTTCTACCGCCGATTCAGAACGATTAAGTAAAGTACTCGTTAACGCAGTACCGAAAAATGACCTATAAAAAATTGGTTTTTATGAATTTCCATTTTAAAATGGCAAGCTAAAATGGTATTTATTTAGTATCAAAACGTGGAATATATTTTTAGAAAATCGTCTCTAAAAAGTCATACCTTATTAAAAAAATAATAATCTGTTTTGGCAACACTCGAAGCTCGAAGCGCATCGCTCGGCAACACCCACTCTCTGGGCGCTCTCTTCACAAATCCAGTTTCGATTCTTGGCCTGGCATAAAATCTCAGACTCGCGCTTTTGGCCGCAACAGTTTCATCTGGGCTTTCGGCTCCGTTGCACGCGTAACTCAGCTGGCTTTTAGACCCTCTTCGCGGATTACTGTTAGCCACTAGCCACTAGTCATTTAGCCATTTGGCCCAAACAAGTTTCGGTTTGTGTTGTGATCCGTGTGTACTATTTAAGATCTCGTATTTTCCCAGACAAATGCTTGGCCAAAATATTAATAATTTAAAAATTCATTTTTGAATGCGAAAATAGTCGAGATCTTTAGCATATCACCTGGCCCATCTAACCGAAGTTGGTAGAAAAATTCAATGTCACCTCGTCGGATGTTAATTTCCAAGTCTTTTGTTTTCGATTCATTTCGAGCTGCGCAACAAAATGGAAAATTTATGGCGCTAATTTCTAATTTGACTTCATTAATCAGCAAGATGGGAAATCTATGGCGCTAATTTCAGACCCTGAGCACTAGTATCGCAATTAAAAACTAGATTTACTAGAATTTCGCTCAAGTAGAACGTGTCACAAACGTCTCGAGAATTGAGTTCAAGGTTTTAAAAAAATGTTTTTTCTGACAGCTCGATAGCATCTCTGCAAAAATTGCATTAGCCATGATAATGATTATCTTTGCGGGCCAGCGATTTGCGAAAATGCAAATTCCCTCGCTTCGTCTTCCGTTATAAGTTGCGAATGTCAAGGTGAAGGTTGGCCAGGTGATCAATAAGGTGATCAATCGATCGGTGGGGAAGTCTAGAAATTCAATGCAGTTTCTCCCTTGAGCCGGTTCCGAGTCACTTGTATCATTAATATATTTAAATTTCTACCCTCTTTCCCTATAAATAGCGTGCACAATTTGTCATTAGGCAAACTGAAACTTGAGATCGCAAATATTAAACGCGAAACGCTTAGAAAAAAATTGAAAATTATCACAGAATAATTTCAGTTGAGCGCAGAGCAACAACAATTGCAAAATGAGTAAGTAATTGTGAAGTACCGCCGTCATTATATGGGCAACTAATTGGCAATTGTTGTCAGTTAGCTTAAGTTATTTAGTTGGAACCGAAGTTCCAAGTGCGCCGAGTGAAAAAACCTGTCTCTCAAGCTCAAAGTACAGAAGCAATTGCTAACTGAATCCAAATTGCCTTCCTTCCAGGAGTGCCCACAATGCTGTCGGATATCGACCAACTGCCCACGCTCCAGGTGGGCGACTACACGCTCCAGTTCGACCTGGGCGAGCCGACGGCCCAGGGAAAGGAGGTGGCCATCAAGGAGCTCCGGGAAACCCCCGAGCGCCAGAAGGAGGCCGCCAAGGAGCTGGCCCGCCTCTTGGAGGGTAAGTAATGATCAGGAATAGACTACCTTTAGTTAAGAAATATATACTTTTTAATAGGATTAAAAAAAAAAATACTTCAAAAAATGTATTTTATAAAAAAATATATACATACGCATACATATTAAAATTAGGTCTGGTAAAAAAAAAGATAATTAAAAAAAAAAGACAAGAGGATCTAACCTTTTAATCAATAAACCCATATTTAATTCGTGTCAGTTTATTTTTAAACTAAATTGTTTAAATGAAACCTGTATACTGTATAAGTGATTGTTATTGTAACAAGCAAAACCAAGCAGAAAATAAAGTAATTTATATGATTTTTGTAAAGAAAAAATTAAATACTTATTATTCAGGTGTTTCCACTTTTTCATATAATTTGCGGCGAAACCGCAATTATCAACAGCCATCAGATTTTGAATATTTAATTAAAATATATTCAATTTAAAACGAATAATGCTCACTTGTAACCTTTCATGAATAAGCAATGAGTTTAATATACTTTTGTTATTGAGAACAATTTTTTGTCAGTGATTAAAAAAAACCTAATTTTGACAGGTCTTAAGTCTTATTTTAATGTTTGTACAATCCGGTTTTTGAATAATTTAAATTCATTTTAAGTCTTTTTTAGAAGTGAACAAATTAAATTTCTTATTATACCCTTGCAGAGGGTATTATAATTTTGGTCAAAAGTGTGCAACGCAGTGAAGGAGACATATCCGACCCTATAAAGTATATATATTCTTGATCAGGATCACCTCCTGAGTTGATATAGCCATGTCCGTCTGTCCGTCTGTCTGTCCGTCTGTCTGTCCGTCTGTCTGTCCGTCTGTCTGTCTGTTTCTACGCGAACTAGTCTCTCAGTTTTGAAGATATCGAATTGAAACTTTGCACACACCCTTCTTTCCTTTGCACGCAGTATATAAGTCGGAACGGCCGGGATCGGCCGACTATATCCTATAGCTGCCATATAACTGATTGATCGGAAATGCCATAACTTTGTTGTTTGTAAAGTTAGAAAGTTGGGATTTTCTATGAGTTTTATATTTGGCCAATCAATCCGACATACCAAATTTCATAAGGATCGGCCGACTATATTCTATAGCTGTCATATAACTGAACGATTGGAAATTCCATAACTTTGGTGTTTTTAAAGTTAGGAAGTTGGGATTTTTATGAGTGTTAACAATGCATCATATAAATAATTTTGGAGAATATAATTTACAGAATATTCTGCAAGGGTATTTCAACTTCGGCTCCGCCCGAAGTTAGCTTTCCTTTCTTGTTAAGTATCTAATTGTGCAGGTTTTTTTATATTTAAAATAAATATTTTTGCAAGTGCATCCATATATTTTGTACACTTCTGAAACAAAGTGCCTGCAATAGTTTAGACGCTAGTCAAACATTAGAAATCAAGTTGTACACAACAACTGAACGTAAAGTTCTATATTATTAGTTTACGATTTCGTGTCACTAATAACAAGTATCACACCCTTGAGAGGATTTGATTGCATAACTTAATAATACGTTATAGCAGAATACCATTGGCTTCTTAAATGCATCTGTACAACCGATCAACCTAATTTAAGTGTGGGTTTTTTTTCAAGCTTGTGACTTTTATGATACTGGAGGTGTGGTCGATTAATTTATTAATACTTTTTCAGCGGAGACGGATTTGCTCTATCCCAAGGGAAACGAGGAGTGGCTGATTAGATATCTGCGGCCGTGCAAGTATTACCCGGAGAGTGCTCGCGATCTGGTAAGATTTTAATAATAGTATAAACTGAAATGAAATAACAACTTTATATTTGACCCTTAAACAGATCAAGCGCTACTACTCCTTCAAGGTGAAGCACTCTGATGTGTACAACAACCTGAAGCCTTCGAACGAGGCCAACATTTTTAAGCACAACATACTCACCGTCTTCCCCAATCGAGATCAGTGTGGGCGTCGCATTCTGGTTCTGGAACTGGGCAGTAAGTACACCAAAAATAGACTAGATTTATCACAGGAATCTCTAAAAATCTGGTTTAATTAATGGCCCATGCTAATATGTGCCTTACAATAGAAATATTATCTTTGTTCGAAACGGTTCTGTTATTTTTTCATTAATAATTTGTTTAAACCAATCTTTGAAGCACTCCCATTTGTGTGATTTAATGTTTAGGAACTAGCTTGACCAATTTTTAAGAGATTTCTGGGAAATTATTAAATGAATTCTTTATTAATTTATTTTAAATTTTTTTTAGAGCGCTGGAAGCACAAGCAGGTCACCCTGGATGAAGTGTTCAAGGGAGCCGTATTGTTCCTGGAGGCGGCCATGCTGGAGCCGGAAACGCAGATCTGCGGTGCCGTTGTGATCTTCGATATGGATGGCCTAAGTCTGCAGCAAACCTGGCAGTTTACGCCGCCGTTTGCCAAGAGAATTGTGGATTGGCTGCAGGATTCGGTGCCACTGAGGATCAAGGCCATACACATTGTGAACCAGCCGAAGATCTTCCAGGTGGTCTTCGCACTATTCAAGCCATTCCTGAAGGAGAAGCTGCGCAGCAGGATCATATTCCATGGCACCGATCGCGAGTCCCTGCACAAGTACATGTCGCCCAAGTGCCTGCCAGCTGCCTACGGAGGATTCCGGGAGGCCAGCCGCATCGATAGTGACCAGTGGTACCAGTTGCTGCTCAAGTGCGACTCCGAGTTCGACACCATCAACTCGTATGGCTACAAGAAGAAGTGATCTGGTTTTAGCTGCTGCAAGTGATATGTAATTAACTCCCCCAAGTCCCAATTTTAAGCACACGTTATAGTTAAGCACTCGATCTGTCATACGCTTGTCCTGTTAGTGAATAGCGCCTAGAGTTTGCCTTAGTCTTAATCAGGATCGGAGCCTCGATCGCATCCAGAAAAAGTGTTATACCTACAAATTATATTTAATCCGGGGTAAGCGTATTTATATCATGTTACTATTGTTCATTCAAAACAAATTGTTGAAATATAAACACACATTCGTATAGACATGCGGTATATTTTCTTATCTTTTGTAGACCTTTTTTTAATGGTTTTTCAGCACAGTTTTCAGATAAATAAATTTAAGGCACTCTAATACTTTGCCATAGATATTTGTGGTACAAAAAGTGTTTGTTTTGTATAAATTATGATTTTTAATGCTTTATAAGGCACCAAAGCTTGTTTTTTTATAAGACACTTGGTTTTTCTGTTATACAGTATCAGAGTATTCAATTTTTGTATGCTGTACAACAATTAAATTAAAGAATAATTTCTATCTGAAATAAAACATATTTCGGGATACCGCAGAAACTAATAGAATAGATATTTTAATAACAATTTGGTAGTCATAATAGATTCTTTCATATTTGTAAGCGTACCAAAAAATATTCAAACCTACTTTCATATTTGTAAGCGTACCAAAAAATATTCAAACCTACTTATTTGTTAGATAAATGGCCAAAACAGACGTTATAAAGCTAATGTTATCTGTGCCGTTTGCTCTTAAGTAGTTCGTTTAAAAACATCGTTTCTTTAGAATATCATCAGCTTCAGGTTAATCGCTTTAAATGTAAACAACATCAATTGATTACTTTTTGGTCTGGGACACTTTCCCCTCGCGGAATGAAAAGCACTGAAGGTCAACCCGGTGGGGTAAGTGGTTAAATTAAGCGTAAGTTCCCTGGCAGCTCCAGTCTGTCTGCTCATAGCCTATAATTGGTGGCCGGCGCCTTTGCTGTGTTGCGCTTCTGTCCAAACATTTTGCTTCCCGGACTTCGCATGGCGTCATCGCCGCCATCCGCAGCCTGCCCCTCGCCACCGCCCGTGCAACAGATGCGACGCTGCACCAGACGAATGGGGCGGGTGAGGTCGATGGTGTCGCCTTGCTGGCGCAGCTCCGCCTCCGCCACGCATTCCATGTGCCGCCACTGGCGAAGGCCAAGGACGAAGGCGTCGGTTACATTGGTCGCCGCCTTCGAGGACGTCTCGATGTGGCAGGCGATCTTCTGGTCGGCGCACCACTGCTGCACTAGCTCGAAGTTCACCTGTCGCTTCTGCGCCGGAATGTCGTTCTGAAAACAAAATTTAAGAAGATTAGAAGTTATAATAAGAAAAAATAAACATTCTTAGTATTGGAAGCTAATATTCATAGGAAAAATACGTCCCTATTTATAATATTTAAATATTCAAACAGAAATTAGTTCTTATGATTATGCTTAAGATAACTTTTCACTGCCGATAAAGTTGAATCCTTCTAAAAACTATAATATCTATGTTAGGCACACAAATAAAATAGTAGTTTAACATTAAATTATTTTTTGAAGCATGTCTAAATTTAATGAAGGGAATGAAATGTATATTTTAGTTGCTTAAAGTAGAAAGTTCCTATTTAAAAATGGTTTAGTGCAATAATATAAATATATGCTCTAGAAATATTAAGTCCTAAATTTTTAGTCTACTCAATAATTCTAACCTTATTTCCCACCACGATGAAGGGGAACTTGTCCTGGTCTACGTCTGCATAGTTGAGGAACTCGTTGCGCCACAGAGTCAATCCTTTCAAGCTGTCCCGATCGTCGAGGGCGTAGCAGAGCAGGCAGATGTCCGATCCCCTGTAGAAAGGTGTGCGCAACGCCCGAAATCGCTCCTGTCCAGCCGTATCCCATATCTGTGTAGTGTGGGAAAATATACAATCTCAATAAATGCTGCAATCAACTTTGATTCAATTGACGAACCAATTAACGCTCTATTAAAATTTGCATTCGATTTAGAAATGAACTAGCTGGGAATCAGGCAAATGTCCCAAAGCGAGTGTTTGCATACCTGACTCACTTACATCAGCACATATACTCGCCTTTTTTGTGGGCTAAACAAATATTTCGTTTAAGAAATAGTCAGAACCGGTAACTGATAACAAAGTGGCGGCGATAAGCAAATTACTCGAAAAATAAATAATTGGATCTGCTTTCATCAAGAATTTCAAGGTACCTTTGGTAAAACATTTTACATGTTTTTCATTAATAGCTTTTAAGTTATGTACTTTAATCAAATATTTTTTATTGATCTGTTTTTGAGCAATTTTATTATTTAAATAACAAAATTCCAATGAAGAAATATATAGCAGCACAGGGGTATACATAAGAACGTAAGCAATTTACATGGTAACATGAATATATAGAATATATAACATATAAAAAGCACCCTTCGTATTCCCATTTTTTGCAATACCGGCTTTTGGAGTCCACATTTCTACGAGTTCTTCTGCGGCTCAGCGAACCGTGACCTAAAAATATTTTCTGGATTCTTCCATTTTGGAAAATTCTCCTGGGATTAATCATCTATCAATCTACATTCCTGCACTTTCTATACCAGGTAAAATCGGCTGGTTTAATTAGAATCATTATTCCAATTCGCGCCACCTTGGCTGCACTTTGCTTACTCACTGAGACGCGCTTGAATATTTATAAGTTTCCGAGCTTGGCGAACTGTGAACAGCATTTTGTTTTGGTTTCGATAATTTAGAAGACAAGTGACAAGCATAAATGAAAAACAATTGCGAAATAGATAAGATTGAGAACAAAAACTGCGGCGGCGTATAAAACAAAACCACTTTGTTGCTGAATAGAGGGAACATGTCATTATTGTTATTATTTCGGTTTTGTTTTTCGCAATGCCAAGCTCTACGTTAATTGAGTAGAAATTTAAAACCTATATGTGTGTGGGCATGGGGCAGATGGAAGAGATACAGCTTTAAATATACAAAAGTACAGATACAGTGGTAACTTGTGGGATTTGACAACGTTTACCTAAATTGGTGTTTAAAACTACTAATCTATATATTTTCTGGGAATGTGAAACCGCATAATCTACTCATTAAAAATGAATAATAAAAATCAAATTGATAACATTGTTAAAAATGAAGAATATTTTTATAATTTCTTATTATAAACACGGCTTATCTCGAACAAATATTTTTTATTTAAATGTTGGTTTTTATTTGTTTTGTTAACTGAACTTAATTGAACTATTAAGAAAAATATTTATTACAAATTAAATTAGGCAACATTTTAGAAATTATTCTTTTAGGCCGTTTGAATTTAACATTACCACTGTACTACGAATGATAGGGAAAGAAAAACAAAGCTCGATCGTTGTTCAGTTTTTAAGTGTTTACATCAACAAAATGCCGGTGGGTTGATCGTAGATGAGGGGAAAATCGGGCAAAGGAGGGGGCTTTACACGTAAAGGAAATACGCTTGGCTTGTCGCTATCTTGCTTAACTGTTGCATTTGCTCTAAAAATTGCAAAAGTTCTACGACCTTAAAACCGTAACTATTTTTATTGATTTATGGTATTTACTTTGGTAATAATTGCATTATATAATATTCTGAGAAGTAGCCAAAACCTTACCTGCAATGTGAAGCGCTCGCCATCGACGACTATATCCTTGTTCATAAACTCCACGCCAATGGTGTGGAAATTGTTTTCCTCGTAGCGATTCGAAACGAAGCGCGTGAGGAGGGCGGACTTTCCAACCCCGCCGTCGCCCAATATGACGACCTTCAGCAACTTGGATTTCTGCGGTGGCCGCATGTTTGTCATATTGAATGTGTTTGTTTGTTCTTACAATTAAGCCCGGCAACAGTGTGTGGATTTCTTTAGTTTTCCCCTACTGCGCAGCTGAAAACTACTGCCGATTTGCAATGACTCTTTAATTTAATTTCACCCACGACTCTCGATCGATTAACATGCACTTTTACAATTGCAATCCGTCGTGTACTTTACAAAAAATAGCAATTAATGGTTTTTGTTAGAACTAATTTGAATCGAATGCTCAACCGAAATCCGCCGTGGAGCAAGTCCAATTGAATGGGCTGTCAGCTGACAACTAACAGACCGGTGCTAACGGCACAACATGCGGCGACTGGGAGATAACACTGCCGTTAACAGAGCCCCAATTTAGGGTGACCATTAACATCTGTTAACTTTGAATATTTAGTTACAATATTAATTTAAATATATTCAAAAGTGTAAGGCAATAAGTTTTAACATCAATATCTCAAAACACTTACCTATTTAAAGAACATGATGATGTATATTTATAAATCTTTATTGATTTAATCACAAAAATAAATTAAGATCAGCCCTTGATAACCGCAATGGGTCGCATTTTGATGCACTTTTTGCTTATGCCCGCTGCGTGACAGGTGTCCACGACATCGGTGACGTCCTTGTAGGATTCAGGAGCCTCCTCCATTACCAACTTCGGCGAGGCCACGCGAATGGCAATACCCATCTGATCCAGCTTGTCCAACACCTCTTTGTAGTCCAGATTGCGGCGGGATTTGGCACGAGATAAAGCGCGACCCTAAAAAAAAGGAAAATAGCATTCAATGAAAATGTTGAATTTAATATAATTATTTAAATTTTTCTTGATCAAATTTAATATTTTATTTGATACTAAGTTAGGGAATAAATGTGGGTCTTAAATTAACGTGACTTGGAAAATGATGAATTGCTTTGTTTAGGGCTGTCTTTAATTAGACTAATTTTGAGTAATTGCTGGGTTATTGCTTTCGCACTCATCATTTTTAAAAAATAATCAAAATTAACTACTTTAAGAAAATAAATAACCAATATCCCAATGACACACTTTGCATTATGCTTATAATAAGGATTAACTATTAGAAACCCAGTTAATGTTTTGTGTTCATTTTGTAATCCCATGTCATATTAATTTTCCCTAAATTTTCATTGCAATTTTCTCATTAAATAAATAATATGAATTTACAAAACTCACCGCTCCGTGGCAGGTGCTACCAAAGGTCTCATGCATGCCCTGCTCCGTTCCGGTCAGAACATAACTGCAGGTGCCCATGGTTCCGCCCACCAGGACAGGCTGTCCTGTGAGCTGATAATCCACCGGGATGAGGGGATGATGTGGAGGAAAGGCGCGCGTGGAACCCTTGCGGTGGACCAGCAGCTTCCGCTCCTTGCCGTCCACAATGTGGTTCTCCACCTTGGCAATATTGTGAGATACATCATAGATAACATGCATGTCGAGATCATCCGGGGTGGTGTTAAACATCTTGGCGAAAGCCTGGCGGGTGAGGAATGTCATGGAGCTGCGATTCACCCAGGCGAAGTTCGCAGCCGCTGCCATGGCCTTCAGGTAGTCCTGTCCCTCCACTGAATTGATCCTGGCGCAGGCCAGCTGTCGGTCATTGGTCTCGATCTTGTCCCGCTTCATGGCCTTCTCCATCTGCACCAAGGCATCGGTGGCCACCTGGTGGCCGAAGCCACGGCTGCCCGAGTGAATCATCACCACCACCTGGCCCTTCTCCTCGATGCCCATCTTGGAGGCGCTCCACTTGTCGTAGATCTCGTCCACCACCTGGATCTCGGCGTAATGATTGCCGGCACCCAGGGTTCCCAACTGGGGCAGTCCTCGCTTCTTGGCCCGCATGCTCACCTTGGCGGGATCGGCATTTAGCATTCGACCGTACTCCTCGCAGTGCTCCTTGTCCTCGGCCCAGACATAGCCCTCCCTCAGCGACCAGTCCATGCCCATTTCGAGGGCCTCCTCCAGATCGCGGGCATTCATCGGGATGATGCCCTTGGAGCCCACGCCCACGGGGATGTGATCGAACAGGGACTGGGCCAGTTGCTCCTTCACCGGCTGCACGTCCTTCTCGTACAGATTGGTGCGCAGCAGACGGACGCCGCAGTTGATGTCGAAGCCCACGCCGCCGGGACTCACGACGGACAGGGGATCATCCATATCGAAGGCGGCCATGTTGCCAATGGCGAAACCATAGCCGGAATGGATGTCCGGCAGGCCAATGGACCGACCCACGATTCCCGGCAGGGCAGCCACATTGGCAATCTGTTTTACGCCCGGCAGGAAGCCACCCACTGCTCCCGGGCGACAGGAGTTCTTCAGCTCCTCCAGCATCAGGCGCTCCAGGCGACTGTTCACGTAGAAGCATCCCTCCACGTTCATGTTCGGCTGGAAGCCCTTCTTGATCCGCCAGCAGTGGTCGCTCACCTTCTCCAGGTACTTGAGCTCATCGTTGTATGGCCGCACCACCATCCTGATCTTCGGGGGATTTAATTTGCCAGCTAATCGATTGCTATTTATAAGTTTGTTATTTCGTCAACTTTTTGCATTGCTTGCCGGCATGAAATGTAGATGCAGTGTGACCGACCAAAAGTAACTAAATATACCGTCAGGTTCTCAAAAATATACTTTTTATACCATTCTTATATTTCAAATTTTAAAACTACAAATATGGTCGCACTAAAACCGTTATTTTAGACTTTTTATTCTCTGTAAAAAAGTTGTTTCAATTCATTTAGGTATAAAAAATAGAAGGTATTAAAAAATTTTTGTATAAAAAATCGCTGCGGATCTTATTTATTATATATATACATTCATTATAGTTAACAAATTGTTATATAAGAAATGATTAACAAACAATACAAATCTTTCATATTTATAAATCTCATTTAAATGCATTTAAAGTGCCTTTATTAGTAAAAGCAAACTAAAGTATAAAAATATAAAAAATTATGGGAACTAGAAAACAGTTTTAACGACCAAATCCAAATCCATTGAGATCGTTTTTAAATGATTATTGAGTCCTCAAGGCATCTTGAAATAGTCATTGTAGTAACTATAATAGTTCTGCATATTAGCAGGTGGACCATAAATCTTGATATCGCTATTAATTAGGTCACTGACGAGGAAACTCAGGTGTGGACATTGGTGGGCCAGATTTTCCAGAGCAAAGGGCACTGGACCTAGGATTGTAATATGAATGAGTCTCAGTGATGGCAACCTGTTGAGTATTTGCGGCTGAAGATAGGAATCTCCCGTCTGATTGTTCACATGGAGTAGACCGAGTGCCTTCAACTTATCTGCCGATTCCAAGAGCTGTGCTATCTGGTAATCGCGCATATCGCAGTGACGCATGTCCAAAAATAACAGCGATGGAACCACTTTATCCACGGCACTCAATATATCAAATGACCACTTGGCATGATCCAATTTTAAGGCTTTCATTCGGCGACTCTCCGAAGCTCCTTGGCATAAGGGGTTTAAATATCGCAGGACATCTTCGTCTTTGGTGGAGTAGCCCACGGTGATGTGGAGACTGTTCAGGTGGCGACCCAGTTTAATCAGTAGATCCTCGTTGAAAACAGGAGGTTGTCTCATGCTAAACTTGAAATCCCTAAATCGGTGCAGCTGTCTTTCGATGGCCCCATCGAAACATTCAAATTCATTGTAGAGCGGCAGTAATTCGTCGAATTTTAGATAACTAAATATGAGATCCAAGCAATCGTCATTCAGCTGCAGCAAATCCATTTTTAACTAAAAATAAAATAAAACAGCCTCGTTTAATAACCACCATGTATATTTATTTTTCAAAAACACAAGCCTTCAAGATCACGCTCTGTTAGCTTCTAAAGCAATCTTAGTGTTGGCCATTGAGATAATGAACTCTCTTACGGGTTTTATGGCCTAAAATTATAAAATAGAAGAACTTTTAATCAAGTAAGATAATAGACTTTATCAGGTTAGGTAAACAAAATAAATGTTATAACAATTCATTTAACAAATTCATTACTTAAAATTCTTTAGCATCAACAGCTATTTGTTTTAATCAGGTATTCAAGACTGGTCGCATTTGGCAGACCATTGCTTAATCTAAAATCCTGTTGGACTTCCAGCCATATCCATTAGTGGTCTAGTTTTTGGCAAGATTAATTTTCCTATATATAATTCTGAATATTTCTGAGTATAAGTGGAGTTTTGGTTGGCTATATTGGCGTCAGCTCAGCCAGAGTTTCGGCAATGGAGCTATCCCGGAACCGCCCGATCCTTAGGGCGTAGGATATGGCATGTGCCACATAGCTCTGTTCATGGACTCCGTGGAATAGGTATGACATGGCCCCATCTGCGTGAATGGTGACATCCGATCCACCGTGTAGATTTTCATCTGTATTTATGGCTGCCTGCTGGGTGTATTCCCAATCGGAAATATTGTCCCCCGTCGGATCCCTACGCTTCTGGGTGTCGGGATCCACCTGAAATCCTTGATAGCTGGTGCCATAAGTCAGCGTGGTGTACGGCGTTTGTTCTGTCTTTGATTTACCGGCAAATCCCAGTATACTGGATCCTCGTTCCGCGTGACCATTAATGGTCAGACTATGCGAATGATCGGCGGTTACTATAACCAGAGTTTCGTCCAAGCGATCCGTTGATTTCAGGAAGGAAAGAGTGGACTCCACGGCGGTATTTAGCTCGAGAACCTCATTAAGTGCCCTGCGAGCTGTTCCCCGATGATGAGCCTGATCGATTAGGCCAGCTTCCACCACGAGTAGAAATCCTTTATCACTGTTTCCCAGAACTTCAAGCGCTTTGAGGGTCATATTGGACAACGATGGCATGCCGGATTCACCTCGATCCCGCTCATGATCGTACATTAGATGTCCATTGGCGAATATGCCCAGTAGATAGTCAATGTCCTGACCATTGAGATTCCATAACTCACGATTGTTTTGGATTACGGCATGGGATACACCGTCGGCTTCTTTCTTTCGCCTCCAATCTTGGATGAGATCCCTGCCATCCGCCGACTTGCTGGCCCAAGTATCCAGGGGATCGGCTGGTGAGTCGGTGACATTGGATACCAGCATCTGGCGACCACCACCCATGATTACGTTAATTTTCTGACCCGTGGGTAGTTCGATCAGCTGACGCGCTATGTCCATACAACCCTGATCCCGGTCCTCGTCTTTCATTCCGGTCTCACACTCCCACCGACGATCCGGCACATGGGCATAGAGGGCTGCCGGAGTGGCGTGAGTAACCCGGGTGGTGGTCACGAATCCCGTTCGCATTCCGTCCACCTGGGCCCACTTGAGGATCGTCTGGACATGGTGATCCTCCTTCAACGAGGCGGTGCAGTTTCCCAGCGGAACATTCGCATCCACGCCGCCCGTTTCGTAGTTGACCTTGACTCCGCCAAAGAGAGCCGTAGCCGTGGAAAAGGAATCCGGTACTTGCTTATCTGCACAGTAGGTCTTCAGCAGTCCCATGTCCGGAAAGTGCTCCCAACTGAGCAGTCCCTCCTCCTTGAATCCGTAAATTCGAGCTGCTGTCACCGTATTCGGTCCCATTCCGTCGCCCACAAACAGTATGACGTTCTTCGCTCGACGACGATTGAATTCCCGGGAAACGGCCTTTTTCAGCTCGTCTATTCCTTGATCGTACCACTCCTGCTGTTCCTTGGGCAGATTGACGGGCCAGTAGGACACCTCCTCCATGTCGCCCACATCGCCAGCCATTCCGTAGTGCACAACAAAGCCAATACACATTGCTGTCATCAAGAGGGCCGAGAAAACCACAGAAATGATAAACAGCCGCGATCTGAACCACTTTGAGTGTTGGACGGGACTATTGGAATTAGGTACCGAATGTCCCTCCCCTTGGAAGCTTCCATTTTCGACACTGTCCTTGGATCTGAGGTCCTCCAAACTATTCAGCTGCACCTCCGTCATGTCCACATCGCTCAGCTTTCGAAACTTTGTGCTTTTTATCGGCGCTTCACTTCTCTTTTCCATTTCGCATTCACGACTAGATCGGCCTAATCTTTACCCAGACTGAAAATGCGAGATATATGGCAGATTTTTAACTAATCATTGTTTACCACAGATAAAAAGGCAATTTATAGACAGAAAGACGTAACTGGCATTGATATTTGGTATTTTTCTGTTGCTTTTAAATAACGAAAGTGAACAGCCGTTATCTGCGAAGACTTATATTCCTGATCAGAAGTTGTTATATTTTTTACTTTATATGTGTAATATTTAGAAGTGATCTGTGAAACAAATACGTTTGAAGTTGTGTTGTTTTTTACACGATGTTATTTTGATTTATTTAATTTAAGGAGGAGTAAGGAAAAAATAACCAATTTATTAATTATTTGTCTTCCCAAACATTTTAATAAGTATCTGGATATCTCCGAACTATTTTTAAATATTATTATTGTTTATAAAAACAACAAATTACATTAATTCTTAGCCATTAAACAATGCTTTAAGTTATTTTGAGTAGGCTCACCATTATTATTTTGAAAATGTACTATGAAATTTTTATTTCACTGAACAATAGAAATATTTATCAAATAGTTTGTTACCGCCGAAAACACACTAGCTACTAGAACTTCAAAGCTATAGCCAGCCCAGAATATTTTTAAAGTTTTTTTTTTACCACAGTTAAATTATGCGTATTTTGCTTAAATTTACCAGTTTCTAGGTATTGTAGCGCGGTATTTTTAACGATACCGATACCACCTATCGATAGGCAAACAGCTGTTATGGCTCTCTCGCGTTGCCCCAGTGTGGGAGTGTTTGTGTCCGTGTACGTGCTCCAATGTTTTTTTTGTATTGTTTATTACCGACGTCGCCGCTCCAAAATTAAAGTGATTCATATAATAAAACTCGTCTCCGACTCGCGGCGAAATCCACCGATACTCGCCATTCGACCGCTGGCAACAGCTTAATATTTAGTCTCGATTGAAACTCCGCGCTTTTCGAGTCGCGAGTGAAAAAAAGTGTTTGCGTGGATTTGTGCTCTTCGTTTTCAATCAGCATCAATTTAAAACGCGTGTGGCTGTGCCAAATATATCCAATAAACTAAGCATTCCAATTGGAGAGCAGCGGAAAACACATACACCAACACATCAGCAAAGCGAAACAAAAACAACGCCATGGATGATTTGGGTGAGTGCTCCACTTTTCCCCAGCGAAAGGAAAGTACTTCCTCAACTAGGAGAATTCCACAACATTAAAGTGTGACGTAGGCAAAAGCCACAAAGATTATGCTCCAACTTCAAGGTCAGTCGTTAATTTGAGTTAATTGGAGTTAAGTATCATGCCGCGGGGGACTCTGACATTGGCCGCCAGGTGGCGACACCGAAAGTCGGAAATCTCACGGATGAATAATTATCTTTATACAGTGAAGATTGGTTAAGATAAACTTTGGACCCTATGCCTACTGAAAATACAATTTAGCAATGCAAAGTGTTTGTATTATTTACAAAATGGGAGTTCTTCACTGACTCATTATTCACCTCTGTTTCTGGAATTGATATGAATCAACCAACTTCCTGTGCTTCAAAAAAAAGTGGCTGAACTAAAACAATAAATAAAATAAATTCTTATGTCCAGGCAGTAATAATAGTGAACTCTAACTAAAGTTAAGTCTAATTGAACCTGATAATGTTTATGTTATTTTATATACAACTTTGGGTTTTTAACCGATTATTTTCATATAAATGCGTAGTGACCAATATTTACTGTATTTTGAAATTCTTATCGTTAGCATACAAGCATTAATCACGATTAAAAATGGTTGCGTTACGTGAGGTTTAATTCTGGATGTTGAATTCCAAGTGCACGTCTTATCGCTGAACCATACATGTGTACATATGTACATATGTATATAAAAATGAATTCAGCAATTTGGGAAGTGGTTTCCACACACTATATCACGCTAAGTTTAACCCGATTTGCATTCCTTGCAGTTTTATGATTTATCCGAATACCTAGAAGTCGAACATAAAACATCAAGGCCCGTACTTCCAGCGTGAGATCATTCACAATTCCCCACTGCGAAGAGGGTGTGGTTTCTTTTAGCTCCAAGTTCAAAACCCTTGGACTTTAGTGAATGATCTGAGAGAGCGAGCTGATTTGCCTGGCAGTTTTATTTGTTTTCTTTCACTGTCACAAAGCGCTCTTTTAGTCACCATCAGCGAAATAAAAGTGTATCTGTCGTCTTACTTTATTTTCTTTATGACACAATTCTTCGCTGTTAACAGTCTCTCTGCGTGTTCTTCTGAATGTCTTTTGATAAAACCAGCTCATGGAATTGCAGCCATCTCTCCAAGTGGATATGTGTGTAATCTTATTATATTTGGCTCAGACATTCTTAAGAAATGAGTAAAGGCCAGGTCACAAACACTCTCCAAAAATTCCAGCTGACTAGCACTCCACCTACGCACATTGGTCTGCTGTCCACCAATAATTAAAATTAAAATTATAAATAGGAAAACCACTTGTCAAATTTAACTAAGGTTAAGAAGAACCGACTTATTAATACAATTATTTGATCTGGTAGCCAACCTTCATCATCGGCTTTTATTTAGTAATATACTATTTGAAATGGCATCATAGCAAAATCAAACCATTCTTAAAGCAATATTATATTCTACTCTATTTATTGGTTGCATGTTAAATCTATCAACACAAATCTTTGCGCCTCAGAGTCTGCACTATAATTGTTATTAAGTGGTCGCACAGGAAGTTGGGACTTCAACTTCATCATCTTGATCTTCTTTACCGGCTTCAATTGCATCAATTTTTCTTTGCAGCCATTAGTGAGTGCGCGCCCACTTCATCGCCCACTCGACACGCAATGTCTTCTGTTCGTGTTGCGTGAGCGCACTGTAACACCAGTGACGAGATGATCTGTCGAGATCAGTTATGTCTATATGGGCCTTGAGTGTCGTTGAAAACTTTATTAAAAGTTTATAAAACTACTTTAAAAGCTTCCATCGCATTAATTTCAGCCATTGAGCCTTCCGACTTGTTTACTAGTCAAAACAAGAGAGAACGCTATAGTCGGGTGCCCCGACTATCAGATACCCGTTACTCAGGTAAAGGGAGTGCGAGGGAGATGGAGATAGAAACTTTGATCACGCATAACTTTTTAACGAATGGTCCGATTTGAAAAATTTCTTCTACATTTCGATAGGTATTGATAAACACAATAAAACTGCATTTTTTCTTTTCCGAAATATTTAAATTTTTAAAATCGTATATAAGCGATTGTGGGCGATAAAGGGGGCGTGGCACCATTTTGAAACAAACTTGCGCTGCGTAGGAACTCCTAGAATCTGCATGCAAAATGCCAATCTTCTAGCTTTTATAGTTTCCGAGATCTCAGCGTTCATACGGACAGACAGACAGACGGACAGACAGACGGACAGACGGACAGACGGACAGACGGACACGGCTATATCGACTCGGCTAGTGACCCTGATCAAGAATATATATACTTTATAGGGTCGGAAACGCTTCCTTCTAGCTGTTACATACTTTTGCACGAATACAATATACCCTTTTACTCTACGAGTAACGGGTATAAATACCAAGCCCTAAATTCAATAACGAAATCGTCCTTAAATTTTGAAACTCGTCATTAAACTGAATAAAAAAAATGTTTTAGAACTTTCTAATGTCTAGATGTATTTTATTCTTGTGTTTTTATGTAAATTATATATAGAAATTGTAAGTCTTTTTTGAGCGCAAAATAATAACACAAAATGTATTGATTTAACATGTACTCACGTTTCTTATATATTTTTACCAAGGAAAAGGTCGTTTTTATTGGCAACTAGCCCACTGTTCACACACCCAAAGAAAAGCTCCAAACTGGCGACAATATTTTCATTCGCTCTGGTTTCCTTTTCCTTGTTCCTCCCACATGCGGTCGAGATACTCCGCCGCAGGCCGCGAAGCCAAATGAAAAGGCACTCAAAAGGCAAATGAATAGCGACTTTACAGCGACTACTGCTAAATGGCTCTTACTCTCGTTCTCTCATATGCTCTCTTGACACTCAGAAAAACAAACTGGATCAAATTGTAATATTTGCAATTTGTGAAAATGTATAATGTAAAAATAAAACTAGTAAAAATAATCTCCAAATAATCTCTAATAAAATATAACTATTTAGTTAGGGTTGAGTAAAACTTTAATCAAAACAGTAATTACGAAACGAAAATGTCTAAAAAACTTAAAAGTCATATGAAATTGTAAATTTGTCTATTTTAATCTATTTTCTCTTTAATGCAAATAATATTTTTCGACTGCAGTTTGTTTACCTGCTCCCAAACACTGGGGCTCTCGCGTTGTCCGCTATTCATGAGAGAGCCTAGGAGAGCCGGAGAGCGAGAGAGCTCTTCTATTGGAGCCCAAGCACTGGGTCCCCTTTTGACTTCAGTCGATTGCGACGCTTTTACTGAGACGCGAGCGCAGCGCGTGTGTTTTCAGGGGTCTCTCGTTCTTTTGCGTCCTATGTTCTCCATCGACTGTGGAATTATAAACAAAATATGTGACAACACACTGCCAAAGCGCAGCCAAAAGTGCACAGATAACACGGGGGAAAATAAAATAAACAAAGCCAAAACCAAAACAAAAGGCAATCAAGTGCTTAGCGAAAAACTAAAGCGGGAAAAAGTTAATGAAAAATCTGTGGAACTGTGTTAGTGATATTGTGGCAGGTTGGAGCGTGGGAAATTGTTTACTTCGAGTGTAAGGTAGATCCATAGCAAAAAAGTTGACAAACCTCGTAGATAGCAAAGAGCTGAGATAAACGATAAAGCAGGAATGCCAGTTTCAGTTAGATATATTCGAAATAAAGAATTTGCCAAGATTAATGGATCCGTGTCACTCGCCTTAAGATTTCACTAATTCTTGGCAAAACTTTTCGGCAAGTTGTTCGAAAAACATTTTAATTTCATTAGCATTTCCACTAATTATGGAACTAATTATCAACGGACAAGACATTCAAATAGATGACTTATTTGCCTCGATCTGGCAGAGCATAGAATTTTGGTTAGCCCCATTAATTTTCGCCTCGGTGCCCCAAACGGATTAAAATCGTGGGCGTTGAGATGGAAATTAGTTTGTTTTTATTTTCTGGAGGAAAGTGCTCGAAATAACCAAACTATAACAGCAAACAACAAAAGCAATTAAATTGTGCCCACTTAATCTATTAAAATTATGACATTTTCCCCATATTTCCATCATTTAAAGCCAAGTGCATTTATGGGGGGCGACTTCCTTCCCCTTCCTCGTAAAAGTATCTCAAGTTACGACAGCAAATGGAAATGCTGGAAAATGATGTAAACTCGGCTGACATAGTGCTCAAAAATATATTTACATTTTGTTGTGAGTTGTGCACTTATGAGAATCGCTTTCGTTTTCGTTTTTAATATATCTTTTTATCTCTCAGATACGGTCAGTGGCTGCCATTTGTTTACGATCACACAGCTGCTGTCTTTGTCTTTTGCCATCCCATCTAAAACCGCAAATATATCTACCGATCACTGATCTCTGGATTATTTACCGCCTTTCCTCCCCTTTTCCTTTAAGCCCGTTTTTGGTATACATCTACTTAGCACCTCTAGATTCTCTCTCACCGTATTCGTAGTGCAATGAGTTCATCGCTTGGTTTTAGTTTGAATTTCGATTGTTCAGCAAGTCCCCCTCTGCAGTTTGCTCCCTCCCTCACTCAACAAGCTGATTCTTATCGCCCAGTCATAAAATTTCAATTAGAGTGTGTTGTTTTCATTGCTTGAGAAATATGAGTGAGGCCCAAGCTGTGTGTTGCTCTTTTGATCGGGGCTTTGATAGAATTTCGAAATCGTTAATTGGTTTCAGAGAGTTGTTGGAATCGGAGATTTATACATTTTTAAGAAAAATCCATTTTTTAAGCCTTTAAACCTACTCTTCAAACTAATACGTTTTCAATTAAATAATTTAAATCTACTCAAAAGAAAATAAAATTGAAATTGTCACTGTCATATAGTACAATCGAGAATCCAGTAGTATTTTTGCAAATAAAGGCAATTAAGCTTTTATAAAACCAATCAAAAGACTCCAATCTTTAGTTCCAGAAAATACTTTATCTAATTAACCAAAATTTGATTCCCAAGAGACCCCTTATCTTATAAATACCGCAAAAACCCCAGAAGGGAGTGAGCGATACCGCGTTGTTTTTAGCGCCCTTTTAATATACATTTTACAGCTGCATAAATTGGCCAAGTTTATTGGAAGACCTGGGCAAAGGCCACTAACCGGAGGAGAGATCTCGCCCTGGGATCAATATCACCCACATGAATTTTCGCTGGGTTTGGTGCCGTCGATCGCTCTTTTTTTTTTCGGGTCACGCATTGCGTTTTCACCTTAGCGCCTTCAGCAAGGTCAACACTCGCATTCACACACATTTTATCTACTTACTAATAAAATATTTATATTGAGATCGTGGCGATCGGCCGACGGTAGATCGCTTGGAATTTCCTGCGAAAGAAACGAAATCGTGCCTTTGACTTTTAAATATAGATGGAAGACCGGGCCGAAAACAATTGCCCACAATTTCTGCCCGACGTCATCCCAAATAGACTGAGTAATGCCTCAGGTGTGGAGGGAAATAGATTTTCCTTAACGAAGACCTGGAACGAAAGTGAGATTTTCACTGGTTTTGCAGTTTCTTTTTATGGCTTTTCTTTTGGCAACGCTCTGCGGAAATCTCCTGCTGTATTTTCAATTAATTTCCCTCATTTTCCCAGTTCAGCTTACCCTTCATTAGACGACGAAACGTCGCCTTTGATTTGCTAGAAATGCTTTTTTCCTTTTTCATTTTTTTTTTTTTTTTTTCTGGTTATTTTTAGTTGGCGATCATGGTGTGTTGACGTAATTTGGCAACCTTGATTCCCCGTTCCCTCCCTTGTCTTTGTATTTTGCCCGAATCGCTTTGTTTTTAGTCGGTGAATTTATGTTTATTATTTTTTACCTTTTTCCAATGTGTCGTTATTTGTTTGAAACAAATGTAAAATGTGGCCTGCATGTTCATTTTGGTATTTTTATGATTCCATAAATCTGTCTTTATAGATCGTTTGCCTCAACTAAATCTACAGATGATCGTAAATATTGTTAGTTGCATAGATCATCTATTGAGATCCACCCACACACTACGGATTAGGGAGTCCGAGTAAATGACTCGGATATTTGGTTGTTGCCGGTCTTTGGTGGCCTCAGATCTAATTTATTGATCTTGTTGATGCCTTTTGATCTTTAGATCACATATATTGAAAAATCGTTTCAGAGATCACTCTTTTTTGCGCAAGCAAGTGCTTAAAAAGATCGTGATAAAAATCGGAAATATCTTTTTTCCCATTATTTGATGAATGATCTGTTGTAAATTTATAGGCGAATGTTTTCATAGATTTATAGATCTTCATTCTGTGGTGGTATTTTTTGTAGCTTGCATTGGAAAAAAACACCCTAAGTCAAACAAATTTTTAAATTTGAAGAATGAAGTATTGATGGATTTTGTTTACTTTTCCATCTATTAATATTTTTTCATGATTTACCTATGATCCACCGATCTTTCACTCTTCAACGTATCGCTTTAATCCTCTAATGCCGTATTTTTTCAGTCCCAGTCAATTAATAGCCAATTTCAAATGCACAAAGCACTCCCCAGACAATAATTTCCAACATTAAATCACTTGGACTTCCACTGGGGGCAGGCAACTAGTTGTTTTTGTTGGTGTACTGGGGTATCGCTCTGATAGACGGGCAAAGACAACGAAAGCATCGACAACGACAACTACAACATCCACTCTGACAGGCTAACTCAACGCAAACAAAAACGACAAATCCGTCGTCGAGCCCCGAAAGGCCAAAAATAAAAATGCGCTTATAAATAATTCAAATGAAACGGTTTTTGCCAGTCGCAGTGCAACAACGTCGGCAAAACCTGAAGATTTTGAGAGTACAAAATGTTACTAAACAGTTTCCTAATCACATATTAACGTTTAAATCAAATCAGTGAGCAAAACAAGTGAATCTCATCCGAAACCATGGATAGAACAATGTACGGCAAGATCGATCCGGGAGCCCGTCAACCTTATCGCACAGCCCGAAGCAAGGGCATTCTGCCAGGGTGTAAGTACCATTAATGAAACAATACAAAGAAAACCAGCTAAAAAAGGTTAAACTAATAAAAAATTGAAGTTTAAATAATGAAATTAGATTGATATTTATATCAAAAGAATCTTATTTTGCTTGTTCTAATATAGAGCAATATATTATCTTTAAAAAATGTTCGGAGGAAGTTAACTTTACTAACGTGTTTGTATCGATTTTGATTCAATCCCTAGTTTAATATTTTATATTATAATGTTGACCCAGAAGACTTAAAACAAAATAGTTAATAAGCTTTGCGGTGATAAAGTTTTAAAGTCAGTCATTGTACAGTCAAGTACATTGATTTGCCTTGCATTGTAAACATGATAAGAAAACTTTATATATAATTTACTGAATGGCTTCCTTGCAATTACGTTAAAGATAAACTAAGCAAAAAAATACTTGAAAATCTAAGATTAGCAATCAGTAATAAATAGATAAGAATGTAAACCTTTATAGATGTTTTAAAGTTTAACAATACTGGTAACACTATTAAACTATTGAATAGTTTCCTTAGAAAAAAGGGCTTAACAATTGGTTTCAGCACTAAATTAAAAAACAGCATTTTTTGTACGCTGGGTAATTAAGAACTTAAAACTTTAATCAATTTAGTTCAATTGACAAATAAAGCCGAGTGAATTTTGGCAGGAGAGGTCGTTCATCTGAAAGGATCTTGTCGATAGCCAGAGCTCAACGCACCGATCGTCGCCATTGCTGTTGTCCGGCTGTCCGGTAGACCAATTAAGAAAAGGAGCCTCGAGACCAGTGGCTTCCGATACGTATACGCCCCGTGCTCCAAGATCATTGATGGACAGCCAGTAGCTGTGAGCTGGGTGTAGGTGAGGGCTCAAAAGTTCAAGCTCCTCTTTGCTCTCCAAATTCACCAAAAATCCACCCTTTTGTCGGCATCGATTGGTTGCCTCGAACCAATTCGATTCGGTCAACGAAATGTAGTAACGCTTTTCACCGACCTCTAGAAGACCTATTAAAAATATTTGTTTTATGAAGGTTTTTTTTAATAAAAAAACTATATATAACTAGGAAAAATGAGTAAAACTTACTTTGATAACCCAAAGGAGAGCCCTCTGAAAGAAGGACATTCCATAAAATCAGACAAGACAGGAGTACTTTAAACATCTTTCTTCAAGTTTCAAGTAGCAACTGACAAATAAAGCGGAAATTGTTTAAGTTGAACAGATATCAAATACTGATAACACGTCTCAAAGATAAGTCTACGATTCTTGACTGATAATTTAAACTAATTCCGGGGAATACCATTATTAACAATCAAAAAGGCAAGTTTGTATGTAGTTAATAGATTTCACATTTATTTGACCAATTATATTTATAAAATTTTAAAAAATTCAAACGATTGCCAAAAATTAGTAAAACAAGATGAATCACAATAAAGAGAAGCAATATAAGCTTTTTAGACAACACATTTTTATATACATCCGTTTTAATTCACACCCCTACTTCCAAACAACAATTGAAATAGTTTCTTGCTTTGGAGCCTCGCAAACATATTTAAATAAGCTGTTATTATCGTTATTGCAGGGTCGATCGTTAAGTTGGATTTCCGTGGAGTGGCCGTATACGTAGCCCAGGTGTATGCAATGCTCTCTACCGCCAGCATTGTCTGGTTGGTTAGGGGCCCACCTAGTTATTCTTAGGGGCTGAGCATTGGTAAACCAAGTGTGGGTGCCGGTTTTTGCCAGGTCAATGCCGGATGTCCAGTGCTCGGAGCGATCTCCCTTGCTTACTAAATACGCAGCAACGGCATCAAACTCATCGTTGGTTTCGAAAGTCACCAATTCCGAATTCAAGTATCGGCAGTTCTCATAGCCTGTGTACCAATTCACTTTATCCTGTCCAAAGTAATAGAAGCCACCTCCGATCTCAATGAAGGGAAACGAGTGGATAGACACATTGTTGGGATTTCCTTTAAATAAAGGTTAACGCATGGAGTATTGATTATATAATTATACAATGAATGCTTACCACTTTCTATTTGGGTAGTATATATTTCATAGGAAAAGCCAAGCTTAAAGCTGGCGAAAAGCATAATGATTTGAACTAACTTCACCAACATGACTGACTTGACTGAGAAAATGGGAAGAGCTCTCGCTGTATTTATACCTTATAATGTATTTACAGTTTCAAATATTGCGCAACAGATAAGGCCTATCTTCTAAGATTGAATTACGTTTGTCTTGTTGATTACATAGTGCTATTATATTTATTTGTGTACAATTCTAGTCATATTTTACAATTACACAAACTGGGGTAATTCCTTTTACGGAAAAATAAAGTAATCGATTTGTGTGACATGAATTTATTTAAAAATCAACAAATTGATAAAGTTTTAGGAGTTGGGCAATATTTTGTGTCTTTACAGATTTTATGTTCAAGTTTTTTTCAGTTAAGTAAGAAATTTAAGTAAGCTAAGAACAAAATAAGACTAACGGGTTTCCTCAGATTTTGGTGCAAACTGTTTTGCTTGGGGACAATTTCGCGCTTACTTTAAGTTCTCGTTTATCTAAACTGCTAATTGAGGAATGTGCACTTTATTTGAAATATTACTTTTAAAAATGCCATGTCATTAACTTTAATTTGAGTTTATTTGATACAGCAAGTATGTGTTATTTTTCGATTTTTAAGGATGTTTTATTTTGTTCTGATAAAAAAGATAAGTACATTGACGTCTTAGTTTTTAGTATTAAATATACAGAGACCTTAAATATTATCTCAATTTAACTATCATTGGTTTACTTTCACACCACAATTGGTTTATTTGTATATATATTTCCAAGAACTGTTATAATCCTCAGTGCAAGGAATGTCGTTAAGTACAAACCTTCTGAAGGCGTTATATTACATTTTTTTTTATATTTTAAAATGAATTACAACATTGTTTTTCCTTTTATGCTTAAACAAAGCAAACCTATAGAAAGTTTATTATAAAAGTGTAGTATACTTTTAGGAATAAATTACTAACAACAAGTTTCTTAAGATTAGCTGTCTTTTTGGCATTGCCTTTTAAATATGCTCGAACTCCGAAAATCGTGCATTGGATTACAAAAGACTTTTCCAAATCTTTAGGAATCATAGGAAATCATCATTAAAGTAAATGTAAGCAATTGCACCACAAACGCGCAGCAGATGACGCAATCAAAAAATACAGTGTATACAAAATGCATAGCGTGTAAAATAAAAAAAAGTCATGCACTCAAAAAAAAAAGGTTACTTAAAATAAATCAAAATAAATACTTTAGCCCTAATAATCCACAAATTATATCGTGGAAATTTGGCATACATTAATTATCCTTATATAATGATAATGGACATTACCTCGTGAAAATTTCTCCCTGTATTTTTTAAGTGTATTTGCCCAGCATGTTTGTTTACATCTGCTTGGAGTAATGTTAATTGCACACAGACTAACACCTTCTATTGCACTGGCATCGTAATATCCAGTTGTCAGCACACAATTTGAATATTCCCCATTCAGTTTGCATTTCGACTTTGTGCAGTCTTCATCGGATTTTGTTTAACAAGTGATCGGAAAGCAAACAGTCAGTCAATTGACATGAAAATCGGTAAGCTTCAGTCTGTCGAGCTTTGCGGTGTGGGATTCGGTTTACAATTCGTAGACTGGTAGTCGCTGACCTTACTACGCGTTTCATTCATTAGATCATTAGATCATTGTTTCCATTGAGATGGCAGCCGATCCAAGTATCGTTGGTGGGCGTCAGTGGTTTCCAAACGATTCGTGTTCTATTTATTACCAGACACGACACTTTGGCAATAAATACAAATATTATCCATGTAGATAAGGTGCGTTTCGCAATGAAAAGATTATTTTATATATATTTAAAATCTAAAGAGATTGAGATGTTTATGAGACTTCTAGTTTTTAAAGACTACCTCCAATTTTTATTTACTTGAGGTAACCAAAATTCTGAATAGTTTAATCGACAGGTTACAAAATCAAGAAAAGTTCTATAACCGGCATTTGGTTTTTTTAAGATAACCGGCCATTTTAATTCCAACCTACCCACAACTTGTCCTACAGTTTTGTCTGGTAGCTTTAATAGTGACAGTATACACCTGTTTAGGTTGGCATTACGCAAGATATTCTAATTGTCGAGGTGATCACCTCAGGGCATATGAAATTCGATTGATTGATTACATTGTCTGTCGGTTTATCTTATAAGTTGGGCTTTACAGGTAGTAAGGAAGTTGGGTTGGTCCAACAACAAAAAGATATACAACGTTGTTGAAAGCTTATCGATAGAGCAGAACCCGTTTTTAAGGCTTTGAATTGGCACAGGTCGGGGCCATCTGTTTATTTTTTTCTGATAGATAATCTCTTATATCGTAGAATTCCAATGGTGGAAGCACTTAAATTGTTCACCTTTAAAACCTAAAAATCAATTGAGCAAATCATCGCCATCAAAGCGACACAAAACAAAAAGAGTAAAACAAAACACTTAATTCCGAACAAAAGCCATAACAAATTGTGGCTATATGTTGCTTTTGTTGTTATAATACTAATTTTAGTTTTCATTTCAAAGTCAAGTGATTCATTCATTTTGAAAAAAAAAGACAACACACTCGGGAATTGAGTGGAAAGGGGATTGCAAAAGGCGGTCGGCAGGTGGCGCCAACAGCTAGTGACACACTCACCCACGCAACAACAAATGAACATAATTACTCAACACTTATACTCAGAAAAATATACTTGAAGTTGAAGTAAATAAAGAAAAATATATCTTGTTATTTTAATGTTCTTAATAGAATGTATATAGAAAGCTATAAAACCCAGGAATTTGTCATTTTATTTAAATTACTTTTATTACTTTATATTCTGTTGCTTTAAGAACCCGTGTTCAATCCCCTACATAGGGGACCTGTTGTTTTCAAAGCTTTACCGGTGTCATTTATATTTAAAGAAATACAATGATATAGTATTCATATAGTAGTATAGTAATAGTAGTGTAGTCATTATTTGATGATAAATAAAATTATATGGGGCTGTATACAACATCTGTTGTTAAATATGAATGTTTTTTTTATTAGGAATGGGATGATTACTACAAAAATTCATTACATATTATAGCTTTAATGAAATACAACAAAACAACTTTTATTTGTTATACGTATGTGCTAAAAACTGACCAAATTGACTGGTTTAGTACTTGATTCCTTAGGAATCTTAGAAATTATATTTAAAATATTAGTTTTTGTATTATTTTTTCCTAGGTGCATTGCTTTTGGCTGCTGTTTGTTGCTCCAACTGTAAATGTTTTGCAACTGGGCGCTTGAGTTGCACTCAATTCGATTTTGATTTCGAGTGAGTGGCTATGTTTTGAGTTGAGTGAGGAGGGCGGTTGAGTGCGGGCAGCTTCGACGGCATTTGTTGTCGAGCGTCTTGTTCAGTTGCTTATAAGATTTTGCCGAGCGAAAATAATTTCTGTGCTGTGCTGCTGCTGCCTCGAATGTGAGAAATCTTTGCGCGGGTGTGTGCGTGTGTGCGGGAATTTAATTAAGGCAGCCGCAATCGATCAGCAATATCAACAAAAAAAAACCGCAAACAAGCCGCCAAAATGAAAATCGAAAGTGCTCCCAAAACGAGCTAAACAAAACCAAAAACAACATTAATATGTAACATTGTCAACAACAACAATGAGAGTGCAAAATGGAGAGCAAAAATAAAAACAATTCGCGAGTGACTCTCACCCACGCTCTCTACATCTCCACTCCCATTCGCCCATTCGTTGCATCCAGTTGTCATCGCTAAATTTCAAAAGCTGTCATGTGGAGCTGCCTCCCTCCCTCTTACTCCCACTCTCACTACAACTCTACTGCAAACCACGTTTGAGTGCAACTCCGCCTTGGAAAAAAAAACATTTTTCAGTCAGCTGCCGGATCTTAATTGATTTTAATTGCATTTTAATCAAGCCACATGCTTCTGCCAATTGCATTCTACGAAACTAATATTTGAAATGTCTTTTTAATGAAATGTCCCCTCGTGCAGCAATCAAGTTTGTTATTGGGCATATTTTCACACTCAGAGAAAAAAAAAGTTACACTCAAGCAGGAACAAATTCTAGGTGTTCTTTAGCGATTGACATAAAATCAAGTTATTGTTCTTAGGAAAAAATGAGGATAATTTTCTACTTGATTTTACACAGATCAGCATTTATTAAAAAATCAAAACATTTTGATCTTTTTTCAAATTGCAACTTGGTACTTGTATTAAAATTCGTTTCGTTACTTTAAAATGTTTAAAAAATTACCGAATAATTTGGTAATTGGGACAAATTTTGATTTTTCTTAAAAATAAAATTATAGTTTTGATATTGGGTCTATTTTAAATGTTTCCGTACTGATATTCAAAATGCTACCAATGGTTATCACTACAAATTAATGAAATGTTTGTGGAGCATGAGATTTAAGAAATTTATTTCCGTTTCGCCATCATAAATTTAAAAATCCCGTTCATCTTTTTTGTCGGCTCTTCTGTAGACGTTGACCCAGTGAGGCGTGACGTTCTGATAACCCTGCCCTGTCCTATTTATAGATGATCCCCCTTCGCCTGTCTATCCCCAACCGGAGAATTCATGGAAATGGGGGTACAGACCCCACATATGGTGGTTCGAATGATTTTCTCGTCAACCACATGTTCGATCTCTCGGTTTGGGACTATTTTTAAAAATATTGCGAAATAATTTGCCTTATTTTCTTGCCCAATAATGCAAAATGTTTTCGAATATAAAATCGAGCATCGTTCCACCGATGCTTTCTTGGTGATTTTTATACATACTTGTTATGAATTCGCTTGCCAAAACGTATGAATCGCGTCACACCTTATTTTCCTTTATATAACTCAATGTGAGTGCTAAATTTGAGTTCCCACTCAATGTTCTAAACTTTTGGCATTGGCCCAGTTACAGGTGTGCCTTTTTCCTACACTTCCCCCAGACTTTTGAACTCTCGGATGAAATGTTTGAATTTTGTTTGATTTATTTTCTGGCCTTATAGCTTAATCGCCTGCTGTCATGTCTTCCTGCTGTTTTAGTGATTATTGTTGTTGTGGGTGGGTCAAATAAGTGGCGTTGAGT